TGTCACCCGGTGCGGTAAACTCATTGTGTTACCCGGTGTGGTAAACTCATTGTGTTACCCGTGTGGTAAACTCATTGTGTTACCCCCTCTCCACGACTTCAACGATGTATTTCTCTTTTTAAAAAATAGTTTTCAGACGTAACAATGACAAGAACAACAAAAAAAAAATTAACTGAAGGTCAAGAGGTAAATGTATTTGAGAAATGTAACAACGTTAAGTTATAGTTATTTTTACAGTAAATTTACTGTATTTAAAATACTCATTTCCTGGTCTTCAAAGCTACAAACCTGTCAATCACTTGATCAAAATATATATCCTTCACCGTATCACTTTCAATTGATAGTAGAGCCACAGCGGAAAGCCTCGACTGTCCCATGGTGGATCGTAAATAGTTCTCGATAAGCACTAGTTTAGAAAGGTTCGCTCACATGAAGCCACAGACACACATATCGTAAGAAACACTTTAAGGCTTGGCGAGAGTATTGGAAGAGATTCTAGTAAGACCCATTCAGCTATGAACTTCAAAACATCAAATGCTGACCAGTCTATGACATTGTAAAACTAAATATTAGCTGCTTTAGATGTATTCTAAGCCTGTAAGTATTTGTTTTAAAAGATCATACTCTGATAAAATATCATAGAAAGATACTATTTTGGAACGGGCAGTAATAACTCATCTTCCCTTGCTGATACTAGACTCTTGGGTTGAACAGCTCCAAACATATCTGCTACTTTCTTGATCCCTGATGATCTGATCTGACTCAATGAAAGCGACCAATACACTTCAGCATTTCCCAACTGTTCCTTCTCGCAGAGCGAGTCCAGCATTTATTTATTGTTCTCTTGCCATTCTCTTCTTAAACTTTAATCTTCTCTCCACCGAAATTATATATTTGTCTGATATAACGCACTGCCTTCTATTGTGAGAAATTAATCTCCTATTTTAAATTGATGGCTCGTTCAAACAGTGCCTAAAAAGGACGATACCATAAAGAAATACAATAACAAAAATACGACACCTAAAACAGTATCAATTACAATTAATACGATTTAATTTAATAATACTACAATTACAGAACAAAAGAAATATAATTACAAATCATCAACTCACAGAGTATGGGAAAATCTTGTACCGGTACACAATTAGTACAATGTGCCAATTAATAATGATGAATGACGAATGCGAATAAACACATATGAGTACACAAATAATAATACAATTTTCTCGTAAAGTTAATAATATCTATCTCCGTCTCTCTCTGTCTCTGTGTCTGTCAATCCCTTTATATATTCAGCATAAGCCCTGCCTTCCAGAAACTACTAAGCATTTGTTTACGTTTCTCGGCAAATCGAGAACGTTCGACAAGATACTAGGAGACAGAATAGCCATGTTTAATTGGTAGTCGGTAGTAAATACGACACATCAAAGAGATTAAACCACGCCCACAACAAACGTAAGCGTATGCTAGGAATTTCATATATAACACTTATTTTAAAATAGCCTTTTCAATAACATGTTCCACCCAGTGACGGTGCTTCTCGTGCAGAAACAATCTAAAGACCTCTTTTTATTCTATATGTTAAGGGCACACGATCAATTTATTGATCATTTTGGCTCCTATGCATGTAGAGGGGATTTGCAACGTTTCTGTGCCTGTCGTTGATGAGGATATTTCACTGGTTGCAATGGCTACTCTGTGAGGTTATCATGCACTGGGGGTTGGAAGGCCTGAGGCAATAGAAGCAAATGTGTCAAGTGTTGTCGCCTCAACTTTTCCTTTAAAATGCTTGTTCCAGTCCCTGATTGTCTTTGGCAGAAATGAGCAGCTCCTATACTGGCTTCTCGCTGACGAGTTTATGTTTAATGATGGAGCAGTGGACCAGCCCATTATTTTTCTTGTACATCATGGAGAGCCTGGATTGTCGTTGTCGTTCCACCAATAGTGACCAGCCTAGCGTTTCCAGCATGCTGCCAACACTAGAGGTATTCCTAAAGCGGTTCAGGACAAAGCGTGCTGCCCTTCGCTGGACCGCCTCCAATGTTTCGATGCTCTTTTGCGCAAATGGGTCCCAGATTAAAGATGCATAATCTAAAACGTACGGACTAAGGCTTACAGGCTCTTTTTTTTCACACTGGAATTGGTCACCACTTTGTCAAGAGTAAAGCCGTTAGTCTGCAGATACTGCTGTGTAATAGTAACCTCCTCAAGTATATAAGCCCAAAGATAGAGGTAGCAGATGAACGTGAAATCACAGAAAAAATTGAAAGACCTTGTAACCTAATTTTCAAGAGGATCACATAGAGCTTCAATCGCCGCTTCACATTCATCAAACTTATCAGTTCACTGTTTTAAAAGCAGCATGCTGAGCACTCCAACATGTTGTTGACAGTCTTTTCTTCGACATTCCAGTGTGTTAAATTAAAACATGCCATCGATGAGTGAATGCAGCAAATATGGAACATATTCTCTCAAGAGTACAGAAAAATGTAATACAGGAAGCATTTTCAGCAAAAGAGCGTCACGTTCGAAAGTTACCGGACACTTCAATAAGCATTGAATCATGGTTAAAACGGTGTTTTTCTGACCTAATTATAGGGTCACCATATTTCTGACGTATCAACCGTGAACTTCAATAAAGCACGCATTTGGATTGGTTAGATGTGTGGAAGATTTAAGAGATCGCTTATCGTTTTATGAATTCGGTTAGACCGGGCCGTTTGTGGTCTGTAAATATGCAATTTTTCAATTTGATGTCACCCCGTGAGATGGTGTCACCCGGTGCGGTCCGCACCTCCAACTAATGCCATTGCCTCTCGGCCAGGAAAACTTCCGGTTTATATACAGAGATTAAATGAGAACCACCCAGAAAAGAAATTCTAGAAATTGCGTTAACTGGTATTCTTTAGAAAGTAATAGAACGTATTCGAACGTAAACAGCTTTTTTCCAATCAAGGAAGGGTGGGTTTGGCACAGCGCTCAACATTTAATCGGTGTTGTCAATTTAAAAAAAAAAAAAAAAGGGGGGGGGGGGGGGGGGATGGGAGTGGTCGACGCTTTAGCTCTACATTGAAGGGAATTTATGTCTACACACATCCCATAACGATAAAGAAAAGGATTTATTTGAAAAAAATGTTTACTTCAAAGTTTGTAGAAATGTTTCATTTTGTTGCAGTGACATCAAACTTGGTGCTTTTTATAATTTAGAGAAATTTGGACACTGCCTTTGGGGTTGAATAATTGATTTGTATGCTCTACTTTTATGTTCATATGAGTGAAAAATACTTGTTTGCTATCTAGGTAGGCTATCTCAAAAGGTAACAACTTTTCTTACTACCTCCTTGTGAGCAATTTTGAAAACCTTTGCATCTTGACGTTTTGAGCATGGGCATCTACGTAACTAGGGGTGCGGATCGCACCTGGGAACCCCCCCCCCCCAATGCCAGCAATAGACAACAAATGAAAATTAGTACATTTCACATTGCTCGATCAAGATGGTTTCATAACAAATTTAAGTGTAATGGGCATTTACGTAAAAAGGGGGGCGGATCGCACCTGGGAACCCCCCCCCCCCCAATGCCAGCAATAGACAACAAATGAAAATTAGTACATTTCACATTGCTCGATCAAGATGGTTTCATAACAAATTTAAGTGTAATACAAGAGTAGTGTAGGCCTACCACAAGAGTAGGCTAGGTTTTCATTTGAGGAGGGTGTCAACAGAGCAGGCGAATCGGAGCGGGGAGTCCGTGGAGGAGTCTTGATGGGGTGACATCATGAGTTGATCACATTGGCTAGAACCAATACGCCACTGAGCATACGTTAAAATGGGTGACTAGACAAAAAAGACACGACGTGAGTGCTAACAGCCGAGCCAATAGCAACCACAATAACCATATGTTTGGCTAATTACACAGGCCACATGCAGTGTTGACAGAAACAAAAATAGCTGTTGTTGTTGTTTTTTTAAACCCGCTTTAAATTTACTTTTATTTGTCCATTAAGCCCACATTACCACAAAGATTTCTATTTTTACCGCATTTGGGTTAATTGGCCCCAGATCGGCGACCACTGATTAAGACTGACAGGGCCTTAATTATTAAACATGAAGGCACCATAGATGGCGCTAGATATTTTTGCTCTGATAAAAGTAACCTCTCATAATTTTACAGTAACTCGAATTACTGGAAATACTTTGGGCTTTTTTACTAAAAAACCGGTTGAAAGAACAGAAGCGCTCAAAATGGTAAGAACGTCTCAAAATTAAAGAGATACGAAATTATTGTCGGGTTTTAGTCGAAATATTTTTAATGAATAAATACATAATAATGATAATAATGATAAACGAATACGATGAATTAAGTGTTGTAATACGCCAGGCCATTAAAAAATATCATTATAACATACAATAAAATATCATTGCTGCTAAATTAAATTCATGTTTAATATTACAAATACGATCTTATTATCTTTTATACGATCGTTATATGATTAGACTAATTACAGCTCTTTACCAACTAGTCTTCCTTTTATATTTTATATCAATTTAAATGTTAATTTATAAATAATTTAATAGTTGTTCAATACTGATACAATTCTCATTTTAAAAGAAATATTTCTAATTATGCTTAAATTTTTAACAATTTCTGATATGGCAGAGATCGCGCTTTGCCTGAAATAACATTTATTTAAAAAAAAAATAATAATAATTATTGTGCCCTGCATAAGAAAAGCTACCGTACTACTAAGAAGGCCTAATTAACAATTTGTGACCCACTTTTAAAGAGATTGCCAATTTGACACTATCAAATAAAATTCAAGACCGATTTGTAGTAGACTTAATATATGTACATTGCTTATACTGAAAATTTGGTTAATTTTCAATTTCAAATAATTAATAGTCATAAAATAATATTAATACACTCAGAAAATTGCTTATTGAAAGGATGAATGTTTTCAAAGCAGACTTTGACCGTAACTTAGCTACTATTACCTGACTACTCTGTCGCCATGTTGCTAAATCAATAATGGAGGTCAACGATTGATGTTTCTATACTTCCTTTGTAATTAGTCGTAACTTTGTGCTAGCAAATCTCACACCTTTGAGTACGATTGAAATTGTGTGAGTTAAATATTTTGTTTAATTGATTGCCTGGAAATAAATATTCTTAACTTTTTCTTAATGCCATTAAAGAAGGCACTTGAACTTAAAAAAAAGATGAAAAAAAAACAAAAAACAACCCCAAAGTTTAATCGCGAATGCGTGATGGTTGGGCCCGGTGGATGCACTTCTTTCTAAACTACCCCTAACGGGACAAATGTGTTTAATTATTATTTAACTTTACATTTTCTGGGACCATTAATTTAAAGACAGAGTTTCAGAATATTAAATATAGGCCTACTCGCTAGTGACAGTTACTGCAGAGTTTTGAGAACTTGATAATTTAAATTTTGTGCATAATTTAAAAATTAAATTTGCCTACTCACATTTGTTGTAATTAACAAGGCCTCATTAACTTTAAATTGAACTTGGGCTTACCTGAAATTGTTTAGGTTAATGTTTAAATTCAACAACAATATTTATTTATTATTTAGCCTTCTACTAATAATCCAAAGTATAACCACTACTTCTACACTTATGAGTCTGAATGTTATGGTAGATGACTGGGAAAAAAGGGGGGAGGGGTGTGTGTGTGCATTATTTATGGGTCCCTCTCACTCCCAATTTTATGCACCAAAAAAATAAGTAGCCTCAGCCAAGTATTACTAAGAGTAATTAAAGCTTACTTTAGGGGTGTGCCGGATCCGTTTTTTCCAACCGGATCCGGATTTTCTTATGCGAAATCCGCCGGATTCGGATCCGGATTCCGGAATAATCCGGATTCCGGTTTCTCCCGGATTCCAGATTTTGGTACTATTGGTAGATACTTCCGTAAGTCAAGGTGGACTACTACTTTTTGTGTATGGGAATTCGCAATCGGCGCCAAAAAATCCGAGTTTTTAATTTTCCGATGTGTGTGTCTATTTATTATTAAATTAGTACTTTCGATATATATTTGAGTTCCGTTCCATTTGGATAAGTGTCTTACGAGAGACACCATGTTTCTACGCGTTCGCAGCAGGTCATGCAGCTCGCTCAACCTAATTCGCCATGGGTTTAGCCACGCCCCCCTTTTTAATGGCGGAAGTTATGATTTTGGTGTTATAATTCTTTAAAAAATTACATCTTTTCAACTATGCCATTGGTTTATTTTTACAAAAAGTTTAAATTTTCTTATCAAAGTCCCTACACTATTGGCCACTATTAGCGGTGCTGACAAAAAGTTTAAATTTTCTTATCAAAGTCCCTACACTATTGGCCACTATTAGCGGTGCTGACTCTAGCCTCTGGTATGTACGGAATATTAAACATTAAACAAGCTCAACGCTCGAAACAATCGATTAATGTATCGTGATCGTGTGGAATTCGGGAAAGAGAATTACTTTTATTTCAGATTATGATCCGGTGAGTCACAAAATCTGGCAAATTCCGAAATCCGGTATATTCCGGAATCCGGTTGTTCCGGATACATGTAAATCCGGCGGAACCGGATTTCACCGGATAGTGCAAAATCCGGCGGAACCGGATTCCGGACCGGATTCCGGCACACCCCTAGCTTACTTGTCAACTTTATCCTTGACATATTCACTAGAATTGCACTAGGTACAGCGAGTATTCTTCTGCTCATCTTCATTCAAACTCATACATAGAAATTCAATTCAATTTGCTAATGACCCTAATTACAAGCATACCCGTACGAGTTATGTTTTTAAATTTTAAAAGGTAATGGGGATCTTCTGCCTGTTATTTTCTGGGTAGATTGCCCTACAGTTACTTCTTTGTCTTGTTGGTAAATCCCACAAATCTCTCCTTCATAAACTTTGGCGCCGCCATCTACATTCAAACGTTCCGCCTTATTGGATATTGAAGGAATTCCAAGTTTTGAGACAGAAAGTTAAAATTTTCTCTTGCACCCAAAAGAAGCATAACATGAAAACTAATCATAATTCTGAATCTATGTAATTTTTAGTTACTTTTTAATATTATTCAAGTGATGTTTTTATTAAAATTTCTTTTTTTTTTTCTTTTCTTTTTTTCTTTAAAAATAAAATTAGAAATATATTACATATTTGTTGATATAAATGTTAACAATTTTCTTATGCCTCTGTCCTAGTAAAAATATAATTACTATGATGATGTTGAGTCTTATTTATTGATTTTAATAAATGTTTTATAGACTAATTCATATGTTGTCTAATTTTAATTTTAAACAAGTCACAGTGACGCAATTTTCACAAAAATATATGTAAGAAAAAATTTTAATTTCAGACTTAGAAGGTACCAAAATGCATAACCATATTTTAATGGAATTACAATTGATAATAGTATAAGTATATTTTTAATAGTAGTAGCAACTGCTTTTATTGTGCTATAATTACATTAATTATAATTTATAAATAAAACTAATAACTAGTCCTATGCCCTATACTACTACTGCCGGAAAATATAATTATATAAATCAAGGGAAAAAACAAGTCCAAAATTCAACGGACTACATGAACTACAGTTATTTAAAATTATTGAATTTATTAGGTTGTATTACTTCTTCTTCTTCTATATAATAAGGGCCCATGATCAATTTATTGATATTTTTGAATCCTATGCATGTAGAGGGAATTTGAAATGTTTCTGTGCCTGGTGTTGATGAGGATATTTCACTGATTGCAAGTGGTACTTTGTGAGGGAATCATGCACCTTGGGTTTGAAGGCTTGAAGCAATAGACGCAAATGTGTCTAGTGTTGTCGCCTCAACTTTTCCTTTAAAAAGCTTGTTCCAGTCCCTGATTGTCTTTGGCAGAAATGAGCAGCTCCTATGCTGGCTTCTTGCTGGTATGGCCTTGTTGCTGTCTATGGGGGAGAGGGATGAATTTTTGTTTAATACTGGAACAGTGGACCAGCCCATTATTTATCTTGTACATCATGGAGAGCCTGGATAGTTGTTGTCTTTCCTCCAATGGTGACCAGCCTAATGTTTCCTGCATGCTGCCAACACTAGAGGTATTCCTGTAGTGGTTTAGGACAAAGCGTACTGCCCGTCGCTGGACTGCCTTCTGGGTAAATGGGTCCCAGACTGAATATACATAATTTAAAATCGGACGGACAAAGGCTTTATAGGCTTTTTTTTTCACACAGGAGTTGCCAATCTTTAGATTACGCCTTAAGAACCCCAGGGTCTTGTTTGCATGGATACATACATTGTTAATATGCTCGTCCCAGCGGACCTCTCTTTGAATGGTAACATCCAGATACTTTACAGAGGACACTGGCTCAAGTATAAGGCCATGCAGTTCGTATTGGTAGTGTAGAGGAGTACAATTTCAAGAGACTGATAGTCTCTGGCACTTGGCAGGGTGAAATTCAATGTCCCAGCTCATCTCCCACTCAGCTAACCGATTGAGATCCTGTTGTAGCTGGTCCTGGTCAGATCTGTTGGCGATTTTCCTATACACCGCTATGTCATTGCGAACAGTCTTGCTTGGGATGTCAGTTTCTCGGGTAGGTCATTAATGTATGCTAGAAACAAACGGAGGCCTAGCTCTGATCCCTGGGGGACCCCTGACTTCACACCGACAAAGGAGGAGCTTGTACTGTCCACTACTACTGCTTGGCATTGGTTGCTGAGGAAGCTAGAGATCCATGTTTTAGTAGTGCCTTGGATCCCATATCTCTGAAGTTTGTGTAGAAGCAAACTTTGATTGACACTGTCAAATGCCTTTGAGAAGTCCATCACCAGCTTGTCAATTTGCTTGTGGTTCTCCAGATTGGTCATAAAGTCTTCTACAAATTCAAGGAGCTGGGTCTCACATGATCTATTGACTCGGAAACCATGTTGACAAACATAGAGTATATTTGGCTTTCAAGATGCTTCATGACTGTGGTTACGATTATGTGCTCCAACAGTTTGCAGTCCATGCTGGTGAGGGATATCGGGCGATAGTTGGGAGGGTCGAAATGCTCCCCTTTTTTTGTAGATGGGAGTGACATGTGCTGTTCTCCAGTCGGCTGGAACATTTCCTGTGCAAAGCGACGATTGGAAGAGGATTGTCAGTGCAGAAGCGATTTCTTTGGATAATTCTTTGAGCACTTGTGGTTTGATGTTGTCAGGACCACATGCTTTGTAGGGGTTAATGGTTTTGAGGAGGGCAAGCAACCCTGCTCTGATATCTGGATATCTTCCATGACAGGGTAGGCTCTGTTCTTCATTTTGGTCTTCAGAAGGAACTCTGCCTCAGATTACTCTCTATTGTCACCAAAGACTGACTGGAACTGCTGAGTATGTCAGCCTGTGCTTTTGGGTCAGATGTCAAATGGCCATCCCATCTCAGGGGGGAAACTCCAGCGTTTGAGGACTTTTGGTTCTTCACATAGCTCCTTTCTAATAACATTGTAAAACAATTTCCCCTTTATTAACTGATTAGTCTTCCACGGATTATCAAAGATGAACTATAAAGAATCAATGTAAATATCTTTAAATTAAATTGATAACAAGAACCATTTCCGACTACCCACTTTTTTTTGTTTGGGGGGGGGGGGGGTATTGACTACTAACAATTTTTTTTTTTGAATTACCGGTAAAGTTATTAACCTTTGTGAATGAATGAAGCAGTATTGAGCTAAACCACTATGTTTTTTAATTTTACATTAAAAAATAATAAGCAATTAACGTACATACGGATGTAAAAAATTAAATGCGTTACCAGTCACAAGATTCTAAATGATGCAAATATGGTATTCCTGTGTTTGGAAAAATATGTGCTCTATGTCACTGATAATTAAAATACTATTATTAGCAAACTGTGACGTAAAACGCAAAAAAATGACACCCTCGCTATGCCGTATATTATATTGCCACACAAGTTTTTGCGTTATTTTCGGATATGTGCAAACTGTGTGCGCGGTTGGTTATTGAGGTGCCTAAGTCAAGCTCACTTTTCAATGAGATGGCTGAAATTATAAAAATTATACAAAAATTCCAATAGGTCTATCTAGCATGAGTTGAAGTAGTTCCATCCATATCTAAGAAGTTATAAATTGTCAGTTTTCTTGTTAACTAAAGTTTCTACCTCTTTTTTTTTTGTTACCGCTCTCCAATAGTTTCCTTTGGCTAAATTCAGTCAGAGCCAATACAACCCACCCCCCCCCCCACACAAAAAAAAAAAAAAAAAAAAAAACAACAACAAACAAACCAAACACACACACATACATATACTGCACTTTTTAGCCCAAGTGTAAGTGCTATTCACAGGTTTCACTGTAATGTTATAATATAGTAAACCCCATAAGTGCTAATGTGGCAATTAACCCCTTCTCCCCACCATAGGTAAGCTACTGCCTTTCTCTACTTTACTTGTTTACATACTTGCATGACATACAAGAGCATAGTTCAGATGAAGTACCATCCATTCATTACCATGATTTTATGAATAAAGTACCCGGTAGTTACTAATTTTTTTAAAAAAAGTTTTAAAAGGGGTTAGGTAAAGGTAACTTAATAAAACTAAATTTTAAGCAAATATGGCTCTTTTATATATTTTTTAATTATCTGTAGCCAAATGAGGGCTGATTAATGGGTACTAATTAAAGATTTATACATCATAAGAAACTCAAAAAACTTAAGGCCAAAAAAAGTTCTGTACAGAAAGAAAAAAAAATTATTTGAATACAATCACTCGAACTAAAAGGTTTTTCTAGAAAACAAATTTTGTCTACTTATTTATTTGTCAATTTAGTGTCCTTTTTGCAAAAGAATGTATTGTTATTTGGAAAATCAAGTAAAAGCATTAATCATAAGAGAAATGTTTAAAGTTGAGTACTGTATCAAAGGTATTATAGAAGCACACAGTTGGCGGCAGAAATTTAATACATTTTTTCAAGTTTTTAGACTGGAAAAAGATTATTACCTGTATGTATTTTTAAAGAACAAAAAAAACCCATGCTTTTCTTTTCTATGCTTGGATTCCCAGCTGCTGTAGATCTTTTTCCACATCATCCGTACATCTAAATCTTGGTCTACCTTTCAGCAATTTTCCTCTGGGATTTTGGTGATGCACCTTCTTCACTCCTCTGTCATTTGGCATTCTTTCTAAATGTGCAGCGCAGCTTGCCTTTTTTTTCATATCTGCTACTATTGTGGAATCCTGATATTGACTATACAATTCCTGATTGGTTCGTATTCTCCATCCATATTCATCCTTTGTTGGTCCCTATATTTTCCGTAGAACATTTCTCTCCCATATTTTTAATAGGTTTCCTGCCATATATATAGTTTTCTTGTAATGTTTTTTTTTTACTTTTGAGTATTTTCTGACTTCTGAAGTATGCCCTGTTTCCGACTGATATTCTCTCTTTTTTTTTCTGTTAGTAAGTCATTTCTTTCATTTAATAAAGATCCTAGGTATTTGAATTGATTTCTTTTTTCAAAAGTGTGGTTTCTAAGTTTAATGATTTCACCTGTTTGTTTTTCTCTTAATATAGTCATGTTTTTTGGTTTTTTTTGGTTGTTAACTTCTGGTCCTGCTTGCAATGACGCATCTTCTAATTCAATAAAGGCTTTTGATATATCTTTTCTACTTTTCCCTAACAGAACTTTGTCATCAGCAGAAGCAAGATACTGAAGAGAGTTGTAGAGAGTGCCTATTGGTTGTGGGGCTTGGGGTTTCCCTCAGATAGTATCCTGTTATTGTTCCTCAGTTGTCAATATATATGCTTCTTATAAATCTCTCCAATGTTAAGAGACAGTAAGTCTCCTTGTATATTGACCCTGAACCTTGATTTTGCTTTTTGAGTTGTTTAAAGTTATATATATCAGTCTTGTCAGTTAGTTGGATATGCCAAACTCCTGCAGTCTCATATAAATAATTTCTTTTGATGCTGTCATAAGCCATTTTAAAGTCCACATAGAGTTGATGTACTGGAACATTATATTCGTAACATTTCTTTAATAGGCATCTGATGGTAAAAATCTGATCAGTCGTTGATCTGTTTTGTCTGACTGAATCCACATTGGTAGTCACCTAGTATTTGTTCAGTATACTGTTGTAGTCTTTTGGCAATTAGTTTTGTCAGTATTTTGTATGTAACATTTAATAGGGAAATTCCTCTGTAGTTTGTGCATTGACATTTGGAGCCTTTCTTGTGTATTGGGGTTATTAGTGCTGTTTCCCATTCTGGTAATTTTCTCTTCTTGCCAAATTGTAGTTAAAAGTTTATGCATCTGAGTATGTATTTATTTCCTCCATATTTAATAAGTTCTGCTGTAAAGAGGTCTTCTCTAGAGGCTTTGTGATTTTTCTTAAAATTGAATACTTCTGTAGTTTTTTTCCAAAGTTGGGGAGTTTATTAAAGTCCTCCATGTGGTGGTTGATAATCTTCATCTTGTCCATTGTCTGCATTTAGTATGTCCTCAGAATATTCAGCTTATCTCTTCATTACTTTACTATTTTCTATAATTAATTGTCCATCATTGCTCTCACACATTTGAGGTCTGTCTTGGTATACATTCTTTTCGTCTTTCATCTTCATGTATAAGTACACTCCTCTAATATATCCCTCGCTTGATAAGTTTTCTATTTCTTTTATTTTTATATTAGCTTTTTCTTGTTCCCTTTTTTTCTTCCTACACATTTTCACAGCTTTCCTTCTGGCTTCATTGTATATTTGTCTCGTATTTCTTGTTTCCCTTTGTATCATGCCTCGTTTCTTTATTCAACAGTCTCTCTGCATTCATTATCAAACCAGCCCACTCTACTTTTGGTTTGCTGAAATCCTTCTACTTTTTCTGATGATTTTTTCATGGCATTTTTTATCACAACTCACTGTTCATTTATCTTGTTTACCCTGTTTATTGCATCATATGATTCTTCTAGTTGTGCCGCTATTTCATTTAGGTAAGCTTTTGCGGTGAGTGGGTCTGTGGTAAGATCTTGGTAATAATATCATTTTTCTCTTTGATTTCGGCCATTGTGTATTAGGTTATATTTAACCTTTACAAGTGAATGGTCAGAGTCTGCATATGCTCCTCGATAGCTTCTTACGTCTAGTATGTCTGATCCATGACTCCGATCGATTAGAACATGGTCAATTAGGTTGTGAGTGATTCCATCTGGTGAGATCCATGTAACTTTATGTATATTTTTGTGTGGAAACTTGGTGCTGCTGTCATCCCTTATCCTGAATCAAAGTCATTGAGTCGGATCCCATTGTCGATGGATTTTTCATGTAGACTCTCCTTGCCAATAGTCGGCATAAACACGTTTTAATCCTCTATTGTGGCATTAAAGGTGTCAATCACTATTTTAATCAAATGTCTTGGTGCCTCATGATAGATTTTTTTCCATTGTCTCATAATAGGATTCTCTTATCTGACCTTCTGCATATTCGATTGGAGCGTGAATATTTATAAATGTTATATTAAACATTTTCCCTTGCACACCTAAAGAGTACAATCTTTCATTCTCTGGTTTAAAACCTATAATTGCACCATAAATAAACCTATAAATGCTTCTTTCTTCACAGCAAAACCTGTTTCAAGAGTGTTTGTGTTGTCGTCACAATAAAATATAGTGTAGTTCTTTGTCTTCATGATGTCTGAATTTTTCCATTGAATTTCTTGCAATGCAGGAATAGAGATTTTATTTTTAATTAATTAATCTATTAGGTGGGCTTAGGCTTCTGCTCTAAACAGGCTTAGTTTGTCAATGTCCATATTTAGGCATGGGTCAATTTTAATTAAATCTCTGTTTTATTTTGTTGTTAAGCTTTCGTAAAGTTTATTTCTTTTTACATGGCTGTGTTGTTCACCTTGGGAACAACTGCCCCATACAGTTCTCTAGGTAAGAGATTACTTAAAAATGATTTAAAGTTTAATTCAGCATTATTTTATTATTTTTATTTTCAGATTAAAAAAAGAATATGTCAGACTTAGAACATGCAGAGAAAAAGCGGTCAAGAGATACCCCAGAGACTGAATTAGAGTGTAATGATGGAAAAAGGTAAATTCATGAATAGGGAGGGAGGAATTTAGATTCTTGTTCATCTCGTTAACAGATTGTTACAATGATTTTGTTTATTTTTGTAACATTAAAATGTATATAAAGTAAAAATAGTTAGTAGTTTCTCTTCAAAAATTTTTTTGAAGACATAAATAATAAAATAAGTTTAACTCTTTAAATCCACTAACTTTCTGTCACTATAGCTCAGTGGTTCTCAACCTTCTTAAAGCCGTGACCTTATAATACAGTTTTTCATGTTGTGGCGAGCCCCCAACAACAAATTTTTTTTCGTTAATAACTTATAACTGTATAGTATATGTGTTTTCCGATGGTGTTAGGCGACCCCTGTGAAAGGGTTGTTCGACCCCAAAGGGGTCGCGGCCCACAGGTTGAGAAACGCTGCTGTAGCCCATCAAACCTATTTTGATGAGAAATATGATTAACCAGTCGAGTGTCGAGCAAGTGTAGTTGTGAACCAAAGGTATATTCGTAATACTTCTCACACACACACATTTCCCCTCTTCCCCCCCCCCTTTTTTTTTTACATTAAAAAATTGTAAAAATATGATTAACCAGGCGAGTGTCGAGCAAGTGTAGTTGTGAACCAAAGGTATATTCGTAATACTTCTCACACACACACATTTCTCCTCTTCCCCCCCCCCCTTTTTTTTTTTACATTAAAAAATTGTAAAATGTGGAAGACACCATATTTTTAAGAAATTAGCTAATTTCATCCATGTTTCCATATCCATATATCTGGAACTTCAGAATATGTCTAACATAATTGTATGGGCCTTTGTATACCTTTTCTGTGTGTATTTGTCATTTTAGTGGAACATATAAAAGTTTCTAAAGAGTTTAGTGTGGGACCTCATCATCTGACATCAAACACCAAGTTAAATAGACTAATCAAGAAAGCTAGTAATAGCACACAAGTAAACCTCCTTCACTTGACGAAATATTTGAAGAAAAAGTCTGTTGTAGAACTAAACAAATTTTGGATGTTATATCCCACCTTCTTCATCACAGCTACTTACGATCAGCCCAATCAGGGTGACTTCTTTCTCTTAAAGTCAGGACCGAAAGAAAGAAAAATTCTTTTGTTTCCCAGTCTGTACAAATTAACCAGCGTGCTCCGCCAGCAGTTATCAAATCTAAATGATCACTAATTAAGTCATTATTGGCACTAAGGAATTCATTAATGAATGGCTGATTTCTACGCTAGAGAAATACTTCAGATGTCTTGTGTTTAACTTGTTACAATTGTAAAATGTTGTCTTGGTTAAAATATGTATTTATTTCTGTGCTGAAAATGAATATGAACAATCAAAAAAATATCTCCATTCATTTGGATCAATAAAATAATCTTAGATTTAATAAATATTAATATTATATTAATATAATTATCTATTATTAAACTTTATTGTTAATCCTATTTAAATTTTGCTCTTTGGCAGGCCAAAGCTTGAGGCACCTTTGGAATCAGAAACAAAACAGAATGTTTCAAAAGACATAGAATTCACTTTACCTGTACCTTCAGATGAAACTGCTAAAGACATAAAAGAGAATACCAGCAATGTTAAACTAGTTGAAACTGATTTAATTGGAGTTGTTGCTGAGTTGGCAGAATCAAAAAATGAAAAGAGGCAATCCACGGTTCTTGATATTAAAGAAATTGAACCGATTTGTGGGCAAATAGAACAATCTGACGAAAAAATGCCTGAAAGCTCTATTATGAATAAGGATGTAGTGACTATACACAAAAAGAGTGAAACTGATAATAAAAATTCAAATGAAGAGAATAATGTTGTAAAGGAAGATGAGAAAGATGCTAAGAGAGCATCTGTTAAAAAAGAAGTTAATATTTTATGCAACGGACAAGAAGACATTGTTCAAGCTTCTTCAAAAAGTGACAGTGAAGATCAAGCAGATGAAACTTCAACAGTTAAGTCTGAAGGGAGTGAAAAGGAAAATGTTGACATTAAAAAAGAAAAGTCAGAATCTCCTGATGTTATAATGCTTTCAGATGAAGATGATGAAACTGCTGATACCACAGTTCGGCACTCTCGTATGCTTAAAAAAGTCAAGGCTTTGCAGAATCAGTTGCGTAATGAAGAAGCCACACTTGTTCTTTTGAAAAAATTGCGACAGAGTCAGATAAGTCAGCCACAAGAACCTGCTGTTACTACTCTTCCAAAGCCACAATCCCACCATCAGCAGTTGAATCAACAACATATGAGACAGCACGGAGGGCCCCCGCCTTTAGTCAGGGGGGGTCAGCCAAATGCTAAGACCCTCCAAACTGTTAATCAAAGTTCCCATAATATGAGAGGACAACAAGTGAATAATAGTACTGCGTCTTCTCGCACCCAACAAGGTCCCCCACCACTAGTCATGGCTCCTCGTTCAGGCAACGGTCAAGGTGTACCATCACAACATCACTCTCATAGCTCACGAGGTAACGTGCCTCACAACATGTCACGAGGAAGTACAAGCAACCGAAGTCAGCCACAGGTGCAACAGCCACAACAGCAGCAAGCTGTTCAAAGACAGGTACCAACCCCACAAGCTCCACCCCCACCACCTCCTCCACCACAAGATACACAAACTCCTGCTCAACGCCAAGCTGCAGCTAAGCAAGCTCTCCGTAAGCAGTTGGAGAAAACATTATTGCAGATTCCCCCACCCAAACCACCTCCTCCGGAGATGAATTTTATCCCATCTTTAGCATGCCCCGACTTCATCTTGCTGCTTGGGCTTGAGGAGGTTGTTAATCATATGATAGACTTTCAGCTCATTGCACGTGGTCAGAAAAACCCTGATGAGCGGTTTGTCTGTACTCCTTTCACTTGTGTACAATGCGGCTCAGATTTTACCCCAGTCTGGAAGAGGGAAAAGCCGGGCTCTAAGAATGTTATTTGTGAACATTGTGTGACCAGCAATCAAAAGAAAGCCTTGAAACAGGAGCATACCAATCGCCTGAAATCAGCGTTTGTAAAAGCCTTACAGCAAGAGCAAGAAATTGAGCGCATGCAAGCATCGACCCCAACACCAAGTCCTCAGCCTGTGGGTAGCAGTACACCACAGCCTCAGCTCCCATCAGCTCCAATGATCTCAGCTGCTAGTGCGGCTGCAGCTGCTGCCAATGCTGCTGCTGCAGCAGCAGTTGCCAATTTCAGACCAAGTGCAGAGCAGCTAAGACAGCATCATAACTTCTTACAAGCTCAGCAAGTACAGCTTAGAGCTGGACAACCTTTGGGTATTCAGGCATTCTCTCGTGCTCCCTTTCCATATAATATTCCTTTTGCCAAGCAACAAGATCTACAACGCCAGTATCTTTTAGATATGATCCCAAGAGGTAATATGCCTTGGAAGCAATAGATTTATTGCTTAGATTGTAATTAAAATTGACTACATCACTGCCTAGAAATGTTTTGTTTTGCTTTAATATATTTAACATATTACTATATTAATTCTTTTAATCACATCAATTTTTATTTACATTTTTCTAAGTCGTACCAGTGCTGTTATATTGTAGCCTTTCTATTTTATTTTCTTTTTTTTTTGTGCTGTTCTTATATTATTTTTTAGCTTTAAAAAAAATATTTGTTTTAAATTGGTAAATAATATTTCATTCAATAAATACATTTAAATGCTATCAAAATTTATTCATTAAAAATATGCTTTTTTAATATTTAAATAGTACCCTGAAGGAAATGTTATTTGAACATTAATTAATTATTTTGATAGTTCAAATTTTGGCTCCCCCCCTCCCCCAATTTGCAATAGCCCAGTCTCTTGCACCTTGTTAATATGCAAAAATATTCTTTTTTAATATTTAAATAGTAACCTTAAGGAAATGTTATTTGAACATTAATTAATTATTTTTATAGTTCAAATTTTGGCTCCCCCCCCCCCCAATTTGCAATAGCCCAGTCTCTTGCACCTTGTTAATATGCACTAGGTAGTAAGATTAATATTTACAACTTATTGCAGCATTTGCACAGTTCTCAACAAAAATTAATGGTGAATATGTTTTGCTAATTGCATTGTGTTAATTTTAAAGTATCGCATTGTAACATTTCTCATTCTCTTCAATGGTGGATGATAAATACGATCCATTGTACATGATTTTTTCTTCATTTTTCTTTAAAGATTTAAAAAATTAAAATGAACCAGGGATATGTTTTACCCTACAAAAGTTAGGGGTGGGGTGGAATAAATGATACATTTGTGTAATGTGTAAACTTGAAAATCAGATTAAAACTAAAATTTTAATCCAACATAATTGTTTTTTGTGGCTATGTTTCAATTGGTCTCTTTTCACTATCTTCTTTTGCCCTTCTGCATTTAATCACTACCCTGTGCATTGTCTGAAAAAATGCAATATTTTAACATCCAAAGACCTGGGTACCAGTACTATAAATTTAAAACTGATAGAAATAACTGTGAGAGACAGTCATTCATAGATGACACGCAGCTATACAAGCATACCCATCCCTCTCTTGTCAACTCTGCTATCCAAACCTTGCAGCAGTGCATTCTGGATTTTCACAATCATGAATCATCCTCTAACCCAGCTCTCCCCATCTCGTTTCTAGTAGGTAGCTCAGAAACAGAATTCACATCCTCTGCTATTCTGGTGATCTGATTTGGTATGGGTATTGGCGGGAGGGTGAGATGTTGGGGGGAAAAAGGGGGGGGGTGTAGAGGAAGTAGTGGCGTACCTTGCCTAAATGCTGCCGTGGGAGAATTCACAAAAGTACGCCCCCCCAACACTGATCGATTTATATAATAATACTTATGGTAATAAGTGGGAGAGACAGCAATCAGGTTAGCATCAAAAGAAGGTAATGGGTGCAACAAAGTATGGGAAAACCTGAAAAAAAGGAACGCAATAAAACAACGAACGTGTCGCCAGGAAGCCGAATTCTTTGCTGCCCTCTCGGATACTACTTTTCAGCTAAGTGCTCTTTTTATTTAATTCTTTTTTTTTTCTTCTGTTGTTTGTTCGCTGACGAAGGCTTCCTGTTTCTGTTGTTTTTTTTTTCAAGTTTTCCCATATATTGTTTTACTCATTTCCTTTATTTTAAATATAATATTAGGCATATGTACCACAAAGCACCTCACGGAACTGTCGCCGACTGTCGACTTTACATAGTTACGTTGTTGTTAGGAAGGTACAGTTTCGACTGCCTTGGGTCCTCCACAGGTCTTAACTGACACCCAGGGTCGCCAACTCATTAAAATAAATTTATGAAATTTAATCCGGCACTTCTCCCATTTCATGCGCCGAATCGAATAAATTGCTGTTTTTGAGTTGGGACTTGGAGTCTTATTGGCATAACCCGTCATTTTTTCAAGTGAATATTATTACTACACAAACATGATATGTCATAATAAACAATACAAACAAAGTATCATTGAAAGTTACAAAGGACTTCAGCAGGCTACCCTTTTTTCCCCCACTGAGTTGGCTAACCTTCTCTGCCCCATCCCCAGTGGAGTAGCATGGGTAAGTGCCACCCGGGGTGAGCCAAAATTTACGCCGTTCCCCTTTCAAGAAATAAACACTGCATTTGGCCGAAAATTCCACCCCTCCGGGAGTGACCGCCGCACCCTCCGTACCCCCTCATACGCCACTGCCCCCTCCGAAACACACACACAAACGCACTTACCACTACCTTCTAAATAGGTGCCACTAATTTAAGGTGGTCCATAGGTCAAACATTTTTTTTCTATGTTTCTTAAATTATTATTTTTTTTTTTAGTACATACTAACTATACACCAATAGAAAGACAAATAAACATAGTCTAGTAGTTTATTTTTAAAAAAAAATTTGACTTTTATTTTAAAAAATATATAATTTTATACAAATATTGACAGTTACGCAAAATGTATCAACACCAAAAGTTTTATCAACATCATAATGAAACTTTGCACACTCATTAAGAATACAGTTGTTAAAAAAATGACACCCAGCTTTCTGCATTACAATTATTGGAGCATCTACAAATGACATATTTGTGGAGTCACATAATTTTTTGTCAAAATACTGGGGGTAGCATATGTAAAAAAATAATTTTAAAAGTTCTGTTGGACAGATCTGAAAAATAGGAGGTGTCACTATGTAGATAATATCAATGGTAAGAAGCATGAAAAGTTTGAAGCCTGTAGCTGTTATACTTTTCCTCCTGATACAATTGGCATTCCTAAAAAAATCTTAAAAACATGAAGTTGAGAAAAACGAAAAAGAAGTCCAAAAATGTTTTTAAAAAAAAATTAAAGACTACATGAACAAGATTTAATGCATATAACATGTACATATACTATTCATAAATGAAAAACCAATATAAAAACACAGATATAAAAGATAAAAAATTTAAAAAGTCATATTTTCAAACATCAACCTCCCTGTCCCAAATAAAAAGTGTGAAACAATAAAAATAATTAAAAATTTTCTGTTGGACAGATCCAGAGGAAGGAGGTGTCATTATGTATATAATACTAATGGTAAGAAGCATGGAAAGTTTGAAGCCTTTATCTGTAATAATTTTCCTCCTGAAACATTTTGCATTCCTGAAAAATCTGAAAAACGCAAAGTTGAAAAAAAAACGAAAAATAATTTTAAAAAATAAATACTACTTGAACAATATAGGATGCATATACCATGTACATGAACCATACATAAATTAAAAAACAATACAAAAACACAGATATAAAAGACATAAAATTAATAAAGTCATGTTTTCGAAATAACAGCCCCCGTCCCGAATAAAAATTGTATAATAATAAAAATAATTTAAAAATTTCTCTTGGACAGATCCAGAGGAAGGAGGTGTCATTATGTAGATATTTTCAATGGTAAGAAGCATGGAACGTTTGAAGCGTGTAGGCATAATACTTTTCCACCTGACTCGATTGGAGTTTCTAAAAAATCTGAAAAACGCAAAGTTGAGAAATACGAAAAACATTTTAAACAAAATTAAAACTACTTGAACAATATAAGAGGCATTTAACATTTATATGTACCATTCATAAATAAAAAAAACAAAAAAAAACATAAAATCCTCTTGATACATCTGGCAACAACAGAATAATTGAAAATTGTTTGTCAAGAAAAAAATCAAAATGAAAAATATTAATAAAAACAACTACATGCACCTTCCAATTTAGCTGATGAATTAAATAATTAAATAAGCATATAAACAATTCATTACTTGAAAATAGCGAAAAATACAGTGAAATAAGTTATATAAAACAATAAAGTCAAAGAGGAGAGCGAGAAAAATTTGAAACCATCCTAATTAATTTTAATAATCAAAAAATCTTTTGACCCCCCCCCCCGCTAAATACTGCGCACCCCAAACAGTGAAAAAAGTTAAATAAAACAATAAAGTCAAAGAGGAGAGCAAGAAAAATTTGAAACCATCCTAATTAATTTTAATAATCAAAAAATCTTTTGACCCCCCCCCCCCGCTAAATACTGCGCACCCCCTTCTAATAATTTTAAGATCATAGCAAAATCCTGATCACATAGTCACGTGTTTGGAAAATGATGATATCCATGAATCATATGCACATAGCACTTAAAGTGTGATATAAAGATTAAAATAGTGATGATAATATAATTATCCCAAGCGTTAGGTTATCTTTTATACCGATACGTTAAACCATATGTCAATACGCATTTTTTTAGGCATAGACGTGATCATCGCCAGGGCCGTCCGAATTGGGTGCGACGGTCACACACAGGGCCGGCCTTAGGCCAATGCAACCTATGCGGCCGCAGTGGGTCTCGCACTTTCGTAGGCCCCGCGCTAATTCTGGGTGTAAATGATTAAATTGAACCATTATAACTTATGATCATGTAGGCCTATAGGTCAGCGTGTTTATTCTGTTTTTATGCGTTTACAGTGTTTTTTTTTTGGTTTTTTTTAACAATACCCGTAACTGTGGCATCTGGTGAAAGAAGCTTCTCGCGCCTCAAACTAATCAATAATTACTTGAGGTCAACGATTCACGAAGATAGATTGAACAATTTGGCAATTCTTGCAATTGAGCGTGATCTATGTAGAAAACAGAATTTTGATGATATACTGTATGACTTCGCTACACGCAAGGCTCGTAAAGTAAAGTGAATTTGATCGTGATTTTGTACTTAGTAAAGAACGAATAAAATGCAAAGACGAATTTATTTTCTAATACAAAATCTTAATTTTCACTTATTATCCTTATCCCTACCCAGACTGGACTGCCTCGGACCCCGCTTTTCCTTGGCACGGCCCTGGTCATGGTGGGTGCCAGCATACGTTGGTGCTGGGGTAGTTTGTATAATGTGACTGCAAAAAAAAAAAAAAAAAAAAAAAAAAAAGTGGGTTTGCTCGTGAGGGTGGGGAGCACACTATTGTAACATTTCTTAAATTAGGTATTGTTTTTATTTATTTTAAAAAAAAATACGAGAATGGAAGGCTGATGCCCAGAGGTATTAAACCATTCGAATGATTTTAAAAATTGTATTTCAAGGAGTAAGCCGAAAGACTAAGAATTGAGCGCAGGTAATCGCTTATAAATAGGATTCATCTCTTCATAATTTAAATGGTCTTTTTTTAAATTAGTTTTACAATTTACAGTTTCGTCTTTTACTATTTATCCTACTTTTTTTTTTTGTTTATCAGTGTTAGTCAATCTCACTCATGATTATTTTATTATATTTAAATTAACATATATTCCTTAATGTTATGTGGACCAATAAACTTTTATTTAAATTGGGTTACTTTATATGACGACTTTTATTATAATTACTCTGTGAAATTCTATTATTAGATAGTTTTACGCAATACATGAAAGGAGGGGCTACTCTATCACTATCTGCAACTTGATGGCAAGTTATTTACCTTACACTTACATACGGGAATTTTTTGTGTTTTTTGTTGATATCGTCATCAAAATTGGGGTATCAGGCAGGGCAGATTCTAGAGGATGTTTTTATTTAATTAAAAGTAAACAGGTACCACGGACGCTCAACATCGTGGAGTAACAACTCACAGGCCTCTAGAATGGCTTCGGGACATACTATTTATGGGTTACCGCCAGATAACGTAAGTTTTCCTCAATGTTGCATTTATGTAGGGTAGGGCTATTTAATTTATTGATTAAAACTAATTTCTTCGCTACCCTAACCTCAGACTACCCTGATCTCTGATACTGATGCGCATAGGCCATACATAGGCATAGTATAGTATAGTATAGCACACAAGCAACACCAAGGCCATCATCAAAGGAGATATGAACTTGAGCTTGGCTTGGACTTAGACTTAGTCAGATTAGTATTAGTAAATTAGACTTATTTGGTACTTTGACATACATTTTAAATTTTAAATATTGGATGAATGCTATAATTTATAGTATAAAACTAAAAACTAAAAGATACATCATTTTAATTTATACTATGTAATCATGACTATAAGTTATATAATATTATTATTTAGGCATATTAATATAGGCTATAGGCCTAACTATTATAGGCCTATTGCATAAACTGCAATAAGATTTACTTTATAGTTTATTATAAAAATAAAAACATACTTAACATACATTTTGACTTGTTACCTAACTTACTAACTTCTAAATTTGATCTTTCTTTCTAATTGTTAGCTTTTACTTTTATAGAAGTAGAAGTGGATTTATGATTCGTTGTTGAATTTTCAAATTTCAAGAGCTTCATTGAGCGGCATGACCTTATTTATCTTTGTATTTATTTACAAAAACTTTTACACAAATTAAATTTCTGCTTATTTTGCTCACAACTTCTAATATAATGGTACCAAATTTTCAGGAGACATTAATAATAATAATAATAAAGTTTATTTAAAAAACACGCTTCATCCCCAAAGGCTCGAAGCGCGGTACAAAGTAAAAAAAAAAAATGTTTTTTAAAAATTAAAAAATTATAATTTACCACATTTAAAACAAACGCAACACTACAAAAACTAATTACAAGCATACTAAGTCAAAGTATTTCTACCCATTTCAACCCTAAGAAACACAGTCAATATGCATTAAATGGAAAATATGGTAGATAATCATCCTAGAAGGTGTTTGCGAAATAGATGTGTCTTTTGAAATCGGTTTTAAAGTACTCCAATGTCTGGTTGTTTCTGAGATCGACTGGAAGGGCGTTCCAAATTGTTGGACCAGCAAATGCGAAAGTGCGCTTTCCGTAAGTCTCAAGGCAACACGTGGTGTCGAGAGTTTGCCACTGTAGGATGAGCGGAGTAGTCTAGTGGGTACATAAGGCGTCAGCAGCTCTTTCAGATAGGTCGGCACCAGGTCATGCAAGCAGCGGTAGCACAACGTTGCGATTTTGTACTTAATGCGAGCACGGACCGGCAGCCAGTACAACTCTCTCAGAAGTGTTTTAGCATGGTCGAACTTGCGTTTGCAAGTCCAAATTTCAAATAAAAACTTCTTGTTACAAAGTGCAAGGCTACTTGACATTTGGGACCGCTGTTCTGAGGAGTGCTGATAATAGACCTGTTTACTCATGCGATTAGGCATACAATATACCACTTTGAGATGTCTCGTATGCCAAGACCTGTCAGAACTGCATCTATAAAATACCACCGCCACACTTTCGTATTGATAGTGGTATATAGTTGCTTTGTGCTTCATAATGAACTCGCTTAACAAAGTGACAGGAATATTAGCGTAGTCACCCTAGTGACAATTTTAGTGAATCTGGGGCCATCCATATATTTTGCATGCACTGAGGCAGTAACTTCCAGCTGCAACAAGATGGCAGAAAAACAAAACAAAAAGAACACAAAAGGAAGGAAACATGGATTTCACCAAAAATTAATTGTTGGAAATAGTTCCTTCTGTGGAAAATATGATTAAGAATCTTGACAGGATCAGAATCTTTTTTCAGATACATATTTTTTCCTTTCAACAACATTTTGTTAACAAAATCTTCATTATTACTATACAAAGGATAACTTCAAGCAACAAAAAGGCTGTATAGTAATACACAAAAGGAAGGAATTCTTAATTTCAACAAAAATTATTTATAGGAAATAATCATTTAAGTGGAAATATACTAAAGACTCTGGCCGGAAGAGGTAGTACCCCTGATGGGGGAAAAAGTTGTGTTCCTAGGAGCAGTTCGTCCGCCTTGGTCCTCTCCTGTCACTCAACTCTCACCGGAGGCTCCCCGTAGCTGATAACATGCAACAGCGGCCATACCTTGAGCAACAGCTTCCACTGTCCAGCTAAACCAGGTGAGTGTAGCTGATGAGCCTCAAACCCTCAGTGATTTAGGTCTGCCTACCTACTGCATGCGAAGCCTGGTCGTCAACAGATCCTGCGGAGGAGACCATGATGGCGATTACAGCAACGCATCGTGGAGTGTGTAGAGCAAGATAAGGCACATAGAACATTTAGGTCATCCACTGCATGCGTACCCATCTCCGGTCGTCTTGACTTAGTCTTGCCACTGGACAAAGTGGGTCCGGACGAGAGAGTGAGGTTGATGCTGCTCAACTCTTCCTCAATTTAAACAAAGTCATCCGCGCAAGTCATCAGTCATCCAACACCCATCCCAAGTCCTGTGGGGACGGGCAGGCTCTCCTAAATGCAATAGGCATGGTCTAGAACAGGTGCCCAAAACATTGCCTGCTCCTTCACACCCTGGCCGGCTAAACACGGTGGGCGGGGACCCAATTTCTGCTGTAGAAAATCAAAGATAAACTCTATTTCACTTAAAATTGCCACATTGAACATCCGTACACTGCTTGACTGGGACATTTTTATTATTCCGAGCACGGGTCGGACTAGCAAGCCACCTACGAGCTCACCGTAACCCACCCTCCCCCCTAACTGGATGACTCCCTGGTCCTATTACATTTTGACGGACGAAAAACAACAACAACATGAACTGAAATATGGGGGGGGGGGGGGTGGTCAATTTTTTCCTCTTTGCTTAGGGGGGGAGCTCGGAGGAATTGAGCTCATTGATGATCAGTGAGAACCTGTACCTCATTTGCTTCATGGTCTGAATAGGTCAAAGGTCATTTCAATTTTTTACTCTTTGCGTAAGGGGGAGGTGTGGAATCTAAAAGCCCTAATACAATCAGCATGTGGAATTGATGTGTAAAAACGAGCAGAAATCAAACAAAGACACACCAGTAAGAATTAGAAGGAAAAATAATTAATTCAGCTTTTTGGATCAATATCAACAAATGGAATTAATGCTCTTCAATTAATGTCCCTCAATTTCCCTGTATTTCTTTTCGTATTATTTTAAATGTATCTAAAATATTTTATTATGTTAAAATCTTATTTTTCGCAGTAATAATACATAAATTCTTATACTTCCTGTAATCTTAGATTTAGAAAAAACCAACTTCCAGCAAAAACAATGGCAAACAATATAGTTTTTGAACTAGTTTCTACTTCTGGTCTTTTTTTCATTTGTCCTGTCTGCTGAGGAAGGCTCTTATTCGAAACTTTCTTCTATTATTTTCCTGTCTTTCTATTCAAGATTCCGCAAACCTTGTTCTACTGTTTCCTTCTAATAGGTTAAGGCTAAATAAAGACTAAGGCTTATTAAGATGACCATTTTTGTTTTCAAAATCAAAACCAGGACATTTTAAACCAGGACATTTACTATGATTTAAATTGTTTTATGCTATGGGTATCCAAAAATAATTATTTCTGATTACAGTTACACTGAGATCTCATCTGTCAATGAGGTGGAGATCTCTTCTGTCAATGAGGTGGAGATATCTTTAGTCAATGAGGTGGAGATCTCTTTTGTCAATGAGGCAGATATCTCTTCTGTCATTTAGGCGGAGATCTCTTCTGTCAATGAAGCATTCTTTTGAAAATTTTGTGATGCCAATTTTAATTAATTACATTTCTTTTAGTTTTTTAAATTTTTATGCCAGAATAGGTTTCAAATTTGGAATACCTATATGTTATATTTTTAAAAATTCAATTTTTAATTAAAAAAAATAAATATTATAAAAGCCTAAATACTTTGTTCCATGTGATTGATTGATGCAACATTCAGTTTCTGAATGGAAAAACAATTAGCCAAGAAGGGGAGAGGCAGAGGGAACTTAATCCCACAGACCACACATCATTCACCAGAGTGTGTTTTGGTGTTGGAATGTCGAGATTACTGCATGCATCTTTTCCATATCAACATAGGATTTATGAATAGAGAATGTTCCACTCATATTTGGTGGGTGTTGGGGGATCATGTCAATAGAAGTTAGAAATAGGAAGAGTTGCATTTTTTTGCATTAGAAAAAGTATCTTCTCAGTTCTGGGATCGATAAATTATTTAGTGGAATCACTTCATTTATATAGTCATTTCTTTTTAATGGCATCTGCCATGTCATTCAAATTTATAAAATTAATAAAGTATTTTCTTTGCAAAAAGACAGAAAAATTTGAAATAAGTCATTTCGCAGGCTTAGTGGTGCAGAATGCATAAAACAATCATTATTGGATTAGCCACAAACTTACTTTTAATCAATGTAAGGCTACAGAAATTAATGTAATATATTAATAGGGTTTTCCGACTTGAAAATAGCTCAAGGGAAAGGATTGGCAACCTTTTTTGAGTATGAGCCATTTTGTAAATAATTTACATTAAACTATTTATAGAACCGCTGACAGTAATGAAAGGGGAGAGCAATGTGTTAAGGCACCTGGAGTAATATTTTCTTCTGATGCGTTTTAAGTTTAAACTACATCAAAATAAATATAATTAAATTATTTATTCAGTCTTTTTAAAGTACAAAGTTATATGTTTAGTAATAAAAATAACCACTTTTTTTTTTCATTCTGTAGTTGCAGGTTGATGATCACCGCCTTTAGATCTTTTTTAATGTACTGCAAAGTGTGTAAGGCCTTTACAATATTAACCATGTGTTTTTCAGTTTAAATTTTTTAAAAGCTTTCTATTTGTCATGGGTCACAAACTTTGCAGTTTGCCCGTTGAACAGCCTGGACTTATGATGTGATTGGAGATCGAGACAGCAAAATAAAAATAAAAAATTAGATCAAGTCCAGTGTGGATCAGAAAAAAATATATTTTTCAGTCAATATTATCTGATATTCTCATGATTATTTTTGCAGAATGAAGGTGAAATGAAACTGTTACGTATTAAAGTGATCGAAGGTGTTAATTTAGCAAAAAAAGACATATTTGGTGCTAGGTAAGTTTGCAATGCAATTTTATTAAGGCCAGCAGTTTTATAGTTTAAGTAAAGGTCGACATATTTTATGTATTTTTTATTTAATTTTTTGTTTCTCCTTTCATAAAGGATTGATTAAAATCAGTTTTTCTTTTCCTATTTTTTTATAGTGACCCCTATGTAAAACTATCTTTGAATCAAAAAGGAGTTCTTGTTGATACTAAACAAACCCATGTTGTTAAGAAAGTAAGTATACTAATGTTATACATTTTTTTACTTGCTGTTGTATGTATTTTAGTTTTTGTCAGATTTTCTTTTGTTTTGAGTTTTTCCATGACATATCACAGATTAAAAAAAAAAAATTTCACCAGAAATATTTTTGATAACTGTATCTTCTGAAATTCACGTAATAATAAACATTATTAACAAAATTTTACTTTGATAATTAATTAAAAAGATAATCCCTTGAAACAAACATACTTTAAATCTTGATATATTTTTTTCTTTTAGTCTCTCAATCCTAAGTGGTATGAGGAGTTTATATTTAGGGTAAGTCTTCAATAGAAACCATGATTTAAAAAGGGAACAAACATTAATACTGATTTTAGAAATAATTATTTAAAAAAATCATTAATGAATGCTTCTTGAAAATTTGTTTGAGTGTACACAGGAGAGTTAACAGCATTACTTGAAATACTTTCAGGTTTTTATTGGATGAGAAGTCCTTAAAAAATCAACTATTCTGTAACCAAATGATGCATTTTAGTGGCTCCTTTATTGACATTGAATGAACAGTTTGAATTACTTGTACAAGTTAATTTTAATCTTGAAAACTCTCACAGGTAAATCCAGAAAACAGTATCATCCTCCTGGAAGTTTTTGATTCCAATCGTGTGGTAAGTTTTGAACTGACATGGACATAAATATTGATAAATGTAATTAAATGATCTTGATTAAAACATCTAAATTTTAATTTAAATCTAATACTTACTAACATGTCTTAAAAGAATATAAAAAATTATTCTGTCCTCTTATACTGTTTTTTTTTTATTATTAAGGGTAGTCATGTAACTAAATATCAATATTATTCCTAGTATTAAAAAAATATTACAGCTAATCTTAATATAAAAGAAGCAAGAATTTATTTTCAGACATAAGTCAATTTTTGGAGATTTATAAATTGTTTTTTTTTTTTTACAAGCAAGCATAATATTGATATATTGTTTAAGACAATGTACTATGTATAGATATAAATTTAGGATATTAAAGAACACTTTTTGGTTTAATAATTCTTGTTTGCTTTAACTGCATTTTAACAAAAAATTGTTTGTTTCATTTAGACCCGAGATGACTTTTTAGGTTTGATTGAGCTGAACTTAAATCACATGTCTATTGTAACAGAAAGAACTGGCAGAGACATTTCTTGTAAAAATTTTGTTCTAAGACCTAGAAGGTGGGTACTTCAGGCACTGGAAGGATATCTTATATTGTAACTGAGAAATTCCCATACTTTTTAATTTGGATTAATACTTAAAACAGATTTTTAAAGACTGATGAACACTTGGAGATGATATTTAAAAGGGGTGGATGTACTTGAAAGGAACACTCGATAGGAGTGGATTATCAGCTAAAAAGACAAATATATTAGCATTAATCATTCATTTTAAATGTAGAACAAATTATAATTTTATTAAACTTTTTGTATTTTAGTTCCCGTTCAAGGGTTCGGGGCCACTTATCTCTTTATTTAGCCTATATAGGCAATGAAGATGAAAGAGACGGAGCAGATGACACAGCATCAGGCGTTGCTCTGAATGAGGTTAGTAATAGTTAACCTGCTATCTATGTCAATTCATGTGAATGTGTATAGGGACATTTTTAAAGTTTTTTTTTTAATTGGTTAAATTTGAGATTAGTTGTTAACCTTAGATTTTACTTGCTTCACCTGGATTGAATGGACATAATTATTACCCAACATGTGATAATTTTTTCCTCTTTTTTTAATTTATCTTTTCGTAATTATTTTGAAGCAGCCTGGCTGGGAATTGGTGGAGCTTGAGCCTTCTCCTGCATCAGATGTTGGGGCCTCTGGACCTACAGTACAGGACCAGGATTCTAGTGTAAATCGCCAGCCCTTACCACCTGGTTGGGAACATCAGACTGATCCATCTGGTAAAGTTTACTATGTTAATCACTCTACAAGAACAACACAGTGGAATAGACCTACTGAGTAAGTTAATCCAGTTAATTTTTTAAAAAATAATTTTTTTTTTAACCAATGTAGAATTTCTGTTGGTTTATTTTATGCTTGAAATGTATAATTAAAGAATAGGTGGGTTTCTAAATATGTTTTTTCTTCTTATTGAATAACTTCATTAGGTCATCCACATTGCCACCAGGATGGGAAGAGAGGACAGATGCTAATGGACGATTTTATTATGTCAATCACCTCACACGCACCACACAGTGGGAGAGACCAATAGGGTAGAGCTTTTTTTTTAATTTAAGAGACTATGGTATGATATAAGTTGACTTAATAAATAAATGATTATAATTTATGCGACTCTTAACGGGTGAACAAACTGAGAAATAGGATTACTAGGATTAAAGCAAAATTAATTCCATTTCCTCTTATATAGTGGAGCAGACACTCCTTCTGCGGTTGACGTTCAACGTCAGCGCAGTTTAGAAGCCCAGCAATTGTACAGAAATCGTAGACACATTAGCCAAGATGACACTCTTAGTCTCTCTACCTCAGTTAGTGAAACTAATATACACGGGGACGAGGAAAGAAGGGTGAGTACATATTTTTAATTAATTAATTTAATATCCATCAAAATTATTTATCAGCTTATAATTTCCTTGAGAAATTCCTCTACTGAATTATATAGTTGTTACAATTAAAAATTTAATTATTAATTTTTATAAGTCTTAAAGATAACTATGCTCTTTAACACTATGTTATGTTTTCATTTTACATTAATTTAAGTAAAAGGACAGTGGCTTTAAAAGGTATAAATATTAGAAAGTTCAAATTCCTTTTTTTTTTATTTTATAAAAAACAAACAAATGGTATTTGTATTTTTTATGAAATTCTTTAAAAAATAGTGTTTGAAATGTTTTAAAAAAATTAATGTTATATAAGTTGTCAAATTTAACGCATTTATTGACAAAAGACCACACATGATAGTTTCAACCAATGTTCAAGTTGGATTTGCAAAGACATCCTAAACCTAGTACAAATACAAATTATTTTTCCAAAATTGATCAGGTTTTGCAATTAATATTATATTTCTTCAAATTGAATTTCTTAAACTGACTTATTATTTTATTTTAACTCAAATATAAAATATCTACATCACACAAACAAGACTCCCTAATTAATAATTTAATTTCAACTTTAAATAAAATACATCTTCTACGTGCATGATGCTACTGAACATGATTATAGTGGGTTGTGGGGGATAGCCCATTGCACAATAATTATATCATTAGTTATGTATTTACTAAACCAGGATTAACAGTTTAATGGATTAATGGATAAAACTACACATGTGATTGTAGATCAAATGTTGACATGGATTTAAATTTAAATATTTTTTATTTAGTTTACAACATTCACAGTTTAATTTAAATTACCCTTGCACTATATGTCTGATCTTTTGACCACTGATGTGTAAAACTATCTGGGTTGATGGTGAAAAAACAACTTAATCCCCCTTAAACCCTGAAGCACTTTTATTATATTTATATTTGCAATATCACCTAATTTTATGACTAAATTAAAGTTACATAATTTTATCAGCTCTAAAAAAACACATAGTAAATTTTTAAATATTTTTTTTTAACCTCACTAGAGTTTTAAAAATTCCTAAATAAAATTTTAAGACAATTCTTTCCAAAACCAACAGACATGGAATATTTATGTCTTATGAATACTCGAATCATTTGCAGATTTTTATCTTTAGAGCTGGCCTTCTGTCACATATTGAAATTCTTAAATGGGAAAATGAAATATGTTTGTTTCCTTAAAAATCTTTATTTCACCATGAAATAAGTATATACGAAAAGAAAGATATGACTTTTGAATGCTTCGTTTGTTTTGCTATTGGACTCTTTAAAGTCAAAAAAGCCAAATAAATCTCTTATTATTGTAAGTTACAATCATATTTGTTTATTTTTATATTAAGTGAGCACATTTATGCATATCCTCTCTTCAAAGAGTTTATTTAAGGAGCAGATTTGAATCAACACAGACCTCTGCATTTCATTAGCAAATAATTTATATAAAAATTAATCTCAGAAAGAATTGACTTTAATTTAATAAATCTTAATTCAACATGTTTTATTTTAAAGTTTTTAAAAACATATATATACATATAAATTATTGATAAGGCAAGCCTGGAAATGAATATATACAGTATTATTAATAAAGAACATGTAAATTATCTTTTTAAGTAGAATATATCATCAGTTTGAACTACTAATTCTTTTTGTTCCAGAGACGAAGTATGCCTTCATCAGTAAGTCATCTTTCCACTTAAAATGTTTGATTAGTCTTTGTCTGACTTGGAGACTTGCTTTTTTTCAATGTATGTAAATGATTTTTTTTTAAAGTTCACGCCCACACTAATCCAACACTTGTGCACTTAACAAGATCTGTGGTAATGCATTGAGAGAACAATCTGTTGTTTCAGTTAATTGATGTGTGTAATAATTGTAATTTTTTTTGTTTGATCAGCACATAGGGTCTGAAGATCCTGAGGAGGAACCTCTCCCTGCTGGATGGGCTATTGGTATAGCTCCTAATGGACGAACTTTTTATATTGATCACAATACACGTGCAACCAGTTGGGTGAGTTGTTTTAAACATCTTAAAATTTGCTAAATTTACATGTTTCTTGATGTCTCTGTGTAATTCGCTTTATATTAACATGTTTCTTTCTTTCTCTGTGTAAAGCACATAAAGTCTCACCCTTTCTTCATTCAAACTTTGACATGGTGACAAATTTTAAGATAGAGCACTTCATAACATAGACAGTAGAGGTATCTATTTATGGATGGTTAGTTTGAAGTGACAGACAGATGGTAGATGTAGTCAAAGATAGACCCAGGGATATACACTTATAGGAAAGAGCCATCATTAATTTTGTTGTTCGATGTTCATCAATACATATTTTCTATATTACTGTTGCTGAGGAGTTGTTTGACTATTTTTAGTATCCTGTGTTGTCTTCATTCTTCTTTTCAAAGTCTGCGTTAATAAATCATCACAGAGAGAAGCAGCCCTTTATTAGCCACTGTAACACCAATACTTTTTGTACATGACCATAAGTAAGGGCCATATCCACATAATTCAGGTGGAATCAGGGCCACATAATTCTGTCTCTTCTCTGATAGATTGAAGCATGGAAAACAAGTTAGGTCACCAAAAAACAAAGTAAATAGAACACCACTATTCTGGTGATCAGTGAAACAAGATTGATGGGAGCTGGTTGGGCAAAATGAAAAGCAGGAAAACAGCTTAGCACTCTGGTCTTTAGCATGATGACGGAGTAGCAATAATAATCTTAAAGGGTGTAAATAAAGTATTTTTTATAAAAAAATCTATGTTTTTATGATGACAGGAAGATCCTAGAAAGTTAGCTCTGCATCGAGTTGGATCTCTTAGAACAACAGAATCTCCAAGTCCCCTTTTCCGATCTTCTTCCGTTGAGGACTTATTACACAACCTTGGTCCTTTACCTGTAAGTTTGTATATTTAAATTATATAAATTTAACAATTTTTCTTGTTGTTGTTTGTATTCCTTATTTGGAACATAATTTAAGTCTCAAGTGCATGTATCAAGTTATCAGTTATTAAATTCTCACCTATGGTGTTAATTGCCAGGCTGCATTGATATAACTATTGTTGAAGGAAATTTTTGACACAAATTCACAACCATCTGTTCAGTCAACAGACATACTTACTCTTATGATTTTGGTGTACAATGTATGATTTTGAGATTTCATTTATGATTGTACACTGAGACCTGTCAGAACCCCTGTGGGGGGAAATGGGGGGGTGGGGGGGGTGTTGGTACTTGTCAATTCATCAAGGCCAAAAATAGAATAAACAGCAGCTTAACTCCTGTTCCGTAGTTTTGATAATAATTGGACATCTATGGGATGACTAGGTCCACTGGTTGACCTCAACCATAGTGGCTAACTGGTTCTGAAAAATAAACATATTGCATTGTTACCATAAAATCTTTTACTGATTTGTTCTTACTTTCTTCTCTTTTTTTTTTAAACTTTACTGTAACAGCCTGGTTGGGAAGAAAGGACACATTCAGATGGCAGAGTGTTTTTCATTGATCACAGTAAGTTATAAATGGATCGATCAAAAATGGATCAATTTATTTTTTACAACTGCCAACTTAGTGATAGATATATTTTAAAATTCTACTTGAATATAAATGTCTATAATAAAACTTCAATACTATTTATATCTTTAATATTTTTTGTTGATATTGATTCCTTATTCCCAGTGTAGGGAATTGATTAACCATTTCCACATATCTGTCTCTACTTTTAAAGTATTTGAATGCAGTTTTTTTTAACGTTCTTTGTAAAATACTTACTTCTGCCTTCTTTGGTAGTCTACAGTATATAATTGTAAAGCATAGAATACAGCATTTTCAACTTGTGTGTAAGATGATAATCAGCTAGTTTTAAGGAATCAACACAACACTTGTTTAGGCTGTTAGTTTATTAATCCTACTGTCTCCTTATGTGGGTTATCAATCTCGCATCCAACCCTGACGGGCCAGGTCTTGTCTTCTTGAGTTGTGGACTGTTTATTTCTAATGGCAGTCTTTCCTGCAGTCTTTCTTGGCAGGACCACTGGACTCATGAAACTTGACGCATTTCTCCACTCCAGCCATCCCAGCTTATATTCTCTAAACTTTCTACCCTTGTCTGATCCAACCACATTTGGAACCCTGGCCGAATTTGCAGCATATTTGTTCTCACATGCTCAACATGAAAAGGTTGACTTTTCATCTTAATACAACAGCCCTACTCCATCTCCCATAACTACCTTTGTGCCCGCCTAGACATCTAACATTGATCAAACATTCCATCTCTATACTTGCTGATGTTTTCAAAGACAGTGATTCTTTTCAATTGAATTTTCCCAATATGCCCTGCCTAGTGCATTATGCAAACAAACATCAATGGTCATTTCCAGGCTCTGTGTTCTATTTTATGCATATTTTGTTCCAAGGTTAGACATGAGCAGTTGCCTTTTATTTTTGGAATATAGGTGGTTTTTTTTGACTGCCATCTTTGTTATCTTCCTTGTTTTGTTGGTAAATGTCAGCTGGGGAATCACAGTTCTGGACTGCTGGCAGTGCTTTTCTCTGCAAAAGTAGCATATTGTCAAAAAATTTCATTATTGCAATTTAAATTATTTAACATAATGGCAATTATTCCTTGATCTACTGTGACAAAATTTTGCTGCTTTCAATATTCCAATTCTTATTTCTATGCTTAAATTTTTTTTTACCTTAAATCCATTTATCTTCCTTTATAGATAATAAAACCACTCATTGGGAGGATCCTCGTTTACAAAAGATTGGTGGTCCAGTAAGTATTTTTTCAATAAGATTGTTACATAGAAATGAAAATCACCAATTCTGATTTCCCTCCAAAGAAACATTTGAATGTGTCATTATAATCACCAATGGTCCTTAATTTTTCGGTTCTTGGATCTATTTTTTGGGGTCGCTAAATGTTGGCATGGAGTTAAATTACTAGCACCTTCGTTATATTTTGAAGGTCAGAATTAGAAACTGATAAAAAAACAGTGAATTTTATTTTGAACCAAAAAAAGGTAAACCTGCAAATATTTTAATTGCCAGTCTCAGAAAATTTTATTGCTTGATATATTTCTTTCCATCACATTTGATACCACACAAATAATCACTATATAATTTTGTTATGAAATTGATTTAAATGATAACTTTCAATTTAGGCTATTCCATATTCAAGAGACTACAAGCGCAAATATGAATACTTCAGATCAAAGTTACGAAAGCCGGTGAGTAGATTTAGCAAAGTTATTCAATAGTCACTGTTCAAGTTAAAAAACGAACTAATTTTTTACAACCGAATTGGACGTACTCTGACAAGTCTATTTGAACAAATTGGTAATACAATGAGATATAATATGAGACTTAAAAGGCTGCTACTTAAATATTTTTTTTTACACAATTTAGCCCTCACATAGGTCAAAATGTTTTCTTTTAGCTTCATGGTGATCATATTTTTATGTTAAACTGAGCAAAAACAAAATGAAATAAAAATACTGGTTTTGCACACTACTCATTTAACTCATTTATAAAGGAGATTTTTTTTGGTTTGATGATTTGATTAAAGTTAAATTATTCAACAACTCAATTTGGACTAAATTAACTTGTTTGAGAATACTCATCAAATCAGCAGTGAAATGTTGATAAGGTTAGACTTGTGCTGTGCAAGCCTGTTATTTATAAATGAATGGTTTTTGATGTTGGTTCAATAGCTGTTAGTGAGTTTTTCAACTTTCCAGAGTTCTTTGCCAAATAAAATTGACATCAAAGTGACAAGGAGGAATGTCTTTGAGGATTCCTTCAGGCTGATAATGGGTGTAAAAAATCCAGAGATGTTGAAAACAAGGTGATTATTTAAAATTTGTCATTATCATCTATTCTCAATCACCAAGTATTTGGATTGACAATGTCATTGTTATTTTGGAGCCTTTTTTTTTTATTATACCCAGGGTAATTGCCCACTGTTGATTTTAGTACTCATCTTTACTGTTTTCATCAAAAAAATATAATCTACTCCAAGCATGACTTCGAAATTTGAGCATTATTGACTCCAGTTTTAGAATATTCTGAAGAATGGCAACAAAATGCCAGGGTATTACAGGGTAATTTTACTTTTATAAATAAAAATTGTAGAAAGAACACAATTTTACTCCTATTTCCAAAAATCTTTTGTCAAATTATGTATTTGGGAAGAAATCTTTTAAATCTCTTTCAAAAACCCACAAGGCAAATGCTCTTGTATATATGTTTCATTATTTCAGGTTGTGGATTGAATTTGATGGGGAAATCGGTCTAGATTATGGTGGAGTCTCCAGAGAATGGTTTTATCTTCTATCCAAAGAAATGTTCAATCCTTACTATGGACTTTTTGAATATTCTGCAACGTAAGTTTAAAACTTAAGGAAACTCATTTCATTAAATCTTTAAAATATTTGTGAAATTATAATAAAATTATAGTTATCAAATATAATCTTCACATATCTTGCCTTAGTCACTATACCACAATTTTTTTTTTCCACCAGGGATAATTACACACTTCAGATAAATGCTCTCTCTGGGCTTTTGAATGAAGAACATCTAGATCTACAATACTTTGAATTTGTTGGTCGTATTGCAGGAATGGCAGTTTTCCATGGAAAGTTATTAGATGGTAAGTACAGTACCAATATGTATGCATAGAGTCATGGAGTAAAACTAATTTGTTGTCATTTAATCTTGTTAGTTAGAAGAAGTAAATTTTTATATGAAATAAAATGATGCAATAAATCCTTCTATTCACCCCACAGCCTTTTTCATCAGACCTTTCTACAAAATGATGCTGAAGAAAGCCATCACATTAAATGACATGGAGTCAGTTGTAAGTAAAAATGATGTGGAATTTAAAATTGAATTTATTTTATTATGTCTTTCCAAATATATTATTACCTTGTATAGCATATTACAAAGTTAATATAAGCAAAGCCACATTTGAAGATTTATTGAAAAATATTGTGCCTTTTGTAACACTTATTTTTTTTAATGAATTTTTATTTATATATGTTGAAGCCATATCCTAATGTATATAAACACATAAAAGCAGTTCCAGCGATATATTTAGAATTTGAGAACTATTCCTACTGTTTAACATTTGTTTAATAAGCAACATTTACATCCAAGCCACTAAATTTGGTTTAATTATTAGTTTATTTATTTCATTATTTATTCATTGTATAGTTTTCATATTATAACTGCTATTTTCTTTACAGTATATTTATAATTCCATCACTTTCTGCTATAAATAATGCGATACTGAACGAGGTTTAAAAGAAATAATATTTTTTTAAATAGTGTTCTGGAAGTGTTTTGCTAGGAGTTTAACTTCTCAAGTACCGGGTACTCCAAACTTGCACCCCTGAAATGAATGGGTTGAAATTTTTGTATAAATTAATTTATTTACAGGAGGAAGTGTAAAAACCTTGTGATTTGGCTTAATTAAATAGTCCAATAATTTCTTATAAAATCTTTTATGTTTGATTAGGATTCAGAGTACTACAACTCTCTAATTTGGATACAAGATCACGATCCAACAGAGTTAGACATGTACTTTTCAGTTGAGGAAGACCAGTTTGGTGAGGTAGGATATCTTCAAGTTTTGAGTTTATTTGCAAACCTTTTTTAAAAGTCTATGTTAATTATTCAATGACTTAAAAGTACAGTACTTAACATTTATTTAGTTTTAGTTGATGTAATTAATCCAGAATAATTAACATATCTTTTTTTTTTTAATGCTGTTCAGATTAAGGAGAAAGAATTGAAACAAAATGGAAAAAATATTCAAGTAACAAATGAAAACAAACTTGAGTATATAAAGTAAGTCAGCTCTCTCCATTTTCAATCATCGAAGATTTTGTGATGTCTTTGCAACATAAAAATTAATTAAAGGGTGAAGTGCTATTTAAAACTTAATCTGAAGATATGGAGGGGGGGGGGGGTGTAATTTATTAATGTTTAAATGTTTCCAAGTGTGTTCCTTACTTTAATTTTTGTTATATTTAAAAAAATTAAAGGGTGAAGTGCTATTTAAAACTTAATCTGAAGATATGGAGGGGGGGGGGGGGTGTAATTTATTAATGTTTAAATAGTTCCAAGTGTGTTACTTACCTTAATTTTTGTTATATTTAAAAAAGATTATAAATTAAAATCAGTTTGTGGCATTTATTTGAACATTTTTATTGCTTCATTTTTGTGGCATCTTTATATTTTTAGCTGCATAATTAAGTGGAGGTTTTCGTCAAGAATCGACACACAAATGAAAGCATTTATGAAAGGATTCAATGCTCTCATTCCGCAGGATTTATTACAAATATTTGATGAGAATGAATTGGAGGTAAATATTTTCTGCCTGATGCTTTATCTTTGCTTTTTTTAAGTTTAAATTTAATTCTAAAATTTGTAAAAATCAAACCTTGGGTTTCATTAACGTGAATAAATCATTTAAACCGATGGCAGCTGCAAGACTGGATAATTTCTCTTTAAATTTCATTTTAAAAAAAATTCTATTGTAACTGAGCCTTACAAAATAATAACTTTTGGTCAGTGCATAAAGAGCAGTGCAATCTAACATAGGTTCTAAAGTTCAGTAGCATATCCTCCTGGGATTATGGGATGGTTATAACTTCTCTTAGAGCCCTTCTTTTGAAGCTTAATTACAAAGAATATGAATTTAAAATTCTTGGAAATGCTAATGCCAAGAGTAAGTAGTGTAGGTCTTAAAAATGCCTATTTAGAATTTTAAATTATTTTAACTTTTTTATTTGGTTTCAATTTGCATGTGATTCTCTTATCAGAATAAGTATTTTATACTTATAGTTTTACCCCCAATTTTTTGTAGTTGTTGATGTGTGGACTGCAAGATGTTGATGTTAATAATTGGAAACAGAATACAGCCTATAAAGGAGAATATAATCCAAACCATCCTGTCATCATCAACTTTTGGAAGGTACTCAATATCATTTATGTTCTAATACCATTGATATAACATGTACATTTGTCTAACATAAATACTTTAATTGTTCTATTACATAATGCTTTTGAGCAAAAATACAAAACTAAAAGTCAGATAATTTTAAAATCCAAAATGTCAAAAGCTTTTAGATCAGAAATTGTCTCTTTTTCCCCAGTGCGTTTACTCTTTCAACAATGAAATGCGATCCAGGCTTTTACAATTTGTCACCGGCACCTCAAGAGTTCCCATGAATGGTTTTGCAGAACTTTATGGCAGCAATGGGCCACAGCTTTTCACGATAGAGAAGTGGGGCAACACTAATCAGTTCCCAAGGGCTCACACTTGGTAATTGAAAGTTATTAGCTAGTGTACACATTTTGTGCTTTTGTGACATGAAAACTCACAATTAATGTTATATCACTTGGTGTTCACCACATTATTAAACAAGTAATGCTAATAATATTTATCAAAATTAAATTACAGTTTCAACAGACTGGACTTGCCACCTTATAATACTTACCATGAACTGAGAAGTAAACTTATGACAGCCATAGAGAACACTCAAGGATTTGAAGGTGTCGACTGAACAGCAGTGAAGCAGGTGCAAGCATTCAATCAAATCTAAAGGATTGCATTGTATATTTTTTCTAGGGGGCTGTTATCATAAAATGGTTATTTACAGACTGAGACTCTTGATTTGGTCTTATTCATTTGCTCTGAAATCTGGACACAGTTTTATGCGTTAGGTGTACTTTATCCTAGTCAAATGTCATTTGAGAGTAGTTCAAAATTATCTTGGACAATAGGCCCTACATATCTGTTAGCCATATTCCATGTGATTAATTTGAAATTATATTGAACTGCCCCAATAAAACTAAAATTGGAAGCCTCTTTAAAATACATCTGCCAATGTAATGCATTTCTGAAAGGGATAAAAATTGTTAAAACCTCTTTAAATTCTAACGTTGTTGATCTCATTTTAGGTTATATTATCTCGGATGTGTCATTAAAAAAATGTAAGGATCATCATCATTTGTTAAATCTCTGCTTAAAAACTCAAAAGTGTTAGATTGTAACTTTAGAATACTTTTATGCCTTTTCTGCCACTCTTAGTGAAAAAGTAAGAAATGACTTTATTTATTTTTTCCAAAAATGTGTCATGCTATCACATGAATACATTTGAAGTTGCTTTTATTTTGTTAAATTGTAAAGAGATTCTTGAGCAATAAATTTAATTTTTTAAAAAGATTTTCAACATAAGTAAATGTGTGTTAGGACTCACCAATACCCTTAGTATTTATTTACCATGTGATAAAGGCCAGTTTTTAATCTCTGTCACTAATAAACTTAATTTACCTATTGAAGTTTTGCAAAAGTAAATCCAAAAATCCAATATCAAAAGAAAAAAAAATTCTTGGAAAATTATGATTAGAGGTGCTGAAATATTAAATGTAGAAGATTTTTGGCTTATATATTCTATGTTAGGGAAATCCTCATCATGGCATTAAATTTGAAATTGTTTTTATTATATCTTTGTGAAGTGAAAATGTTTTTGTTTTTTTTAAAACAAGGTTGTCAAATCTATTTTATGCTTTTTTTATACTGTTATTAAAATTTTGTTATAATTTAACAAGTTTGTTGATCCATCGTTTGTAGAGCAGTAAATTTTAACTGAAAGAATTTGAAATGGAGTAAAGCTATAACGATAACATTATGATAATGGATTTCATCAAAGTCAGTTTGATACATGGAGTGTGTACATTTATTCATCATAGTTAATTTCTAACATGTCCTTATTGAAAATTCTATAAATTATGCTTTTTTAAAATGTTTATTACAAACCAGGGAAAGTTAGATGCCTCATAAAATAATTCATTTATATAGAAAGTTGATCTCCCACAATTTAACTCATTTGTTAGTAGATTTAGTCAGTTGAAAACTGCTTCATTTCTAAATATGTATTTTTATTTCTGTTATGCAAAAATTTTGTCATTTGTATTTGTTTCTGTTTCATGTTACAGTATTGCCGACAGAATGAGGCCCAACATCAATCAATTTATTAAAATGGTCTTGATCGAGTTCGACTGCCAAACTAATACATTAATGCTAACTAGCTTTATCAAATAAATAAAAACCAATATTTGTGACAAATCTTCTTAGAAAACTTAAGCTATCCCTCCTACGTGTAGTCATGAAATTTGTTGTTGAATGAATGAAATAAGTTGTTGCAGGCTTTATGAATAAATCTCAAGATTTCAGTCCATTGTGGTAAAACCTATTTCAAAGCTCTGTGAGAAGTACATTGCCTGAGGGAAACATCGTCCTCGATTCCCTGCTTTACATTGTAATAAGCAGTAAGAGTTGGTAGATCTTTAGTATTGATTATTTCATTAAGAATATAAAATTTTTAGAGACATTCCTAGATAAATATGTTCAATGCTTTTGTAACATTCCTCCAAAAATATTTAGTTTGTAGTTTGTTTTTTTAAAATGTCGAAGCCATCACATTATTTTTGTTTTGAGATCAGCAAGAGGTCAATACAGTTATAAATAATTTAAAATAAAAGTTAAGCATTCTTTCCAAAGCCGTTTTCAAAGGGACTTAACGAGCATGTAAAAAATAGTTTAGTTGATATCCATGTAAAAAAAATTAAAATCTTTCTCATAAGGATTTTCAGCGTCCAAAATGGATATTTATGTGTGTATTATTGGCTCATTTTATTCTATTAGTAATATACAATTAGCTAATACTAATATTTTTGTAGCTACAAAATTTCATTGTATTATTATTATTATTAAGGGTATGCAAACTATGATTCTATCTTCAGTACCGGTATATATGTGGTTGGCCAAGTAAAAAAAAAAAAAATTAAAGGAAAATCCCTAATGGTGTTCAGATCATTGTTGTGAGAGGTTATTTCTTTAAGTTCTTCATGCATGCAAATCTGAAGTGGAACTAAATTTTATATTCGCAAGCCATTATGTAAAGACTTACTTTCAGTTTGGCATCATGTAAGTGAAGTTTGGAAACACTAACACCCCCTTCCCCCCACTTTAGGAACGTGGATGTAACTCATTTGTTTGGTTATAATTTTTTAAAATAAAATATAATAATAACTGATTTATCCCTTATTCATATTACATAGATATTTGCTTACAGAAGAAACAAATTGCCAACATCAATAAAAATAGGTCACTGCACTTGTTCTTTTTCTTGTTACTATTACAATGGTATTGTTTTTATCCCCTTACAATGTACAGTTTCTTCCATTTCGTCTTATGTATGCAGTTCATTAGAACAAATTAAATTGCACTCGCATTCATTCATATGCTATCATTTACTATCATGTTTATCTATTCCCCAACACAACTTTTTTTTAAATTAAAAAAAATGCTACAAAATTAATATGGAAAATGTAAAATAGCTTTCATTAATCTACATGTGTTCCTAAATTGCTCAGTTTGATTATATCCCAGATGATTTTACAGGTCATACTTATAACACTCTTCATCAGTTTTATAGAATATTTTATATTGTATACAAGACTTCAGATACAGCAAGTACTGTGGACTCAAAATGCTATTTCATTATTTAGGGAAAGGTTGTTAAATATAAAATATTTGAAGTAGATTTCTCTTCTCTCTCTCCTCACCCCCTCCCCCGCAAAAAAATATTTTTATTACTGTGATATTTTTAATTTTTTTTTTTGAAAGTGTCATATTAAATTAATCTGATAATGCATTTACATCTGATAGTGCACAACAAATACTGTGCCTTTTGGATATTACCATTAGTTGCCATCGTTTGTCCACCTTTCAGATTATCTTATTAAATAGTGACTAATCGTATACTTGTCTGCATTAATACATAATTTGTAAACTAATGAACCCTTTTTATTTGGTTGTTCTTTTTTTTTTCCAATAAATGTTTCATTTGACACATGGAGAGGAAGTTTCTTGTAATTTATTTTTATTAATACATGTGATTATAGATATTTTTTCTCCTAAAGGATACTTTACATTCTTGAAAAGATCTTTTCATTTATTGTATATTTGGGCTACCTAGGATCACAGATGGCAATAATTTCAAGTATATAGAATAAGGTGAATCCTAGTTACAAATGACATATGATAAGCAGGCCTCCCAGTAAGAATAACAGGATATAAAAAAATGTTAGTGATACACCCGATCTGGACTAAAAAATAAGTTGGTTATTAAAAATAAAAATGTGCAAACGGATGTTTTCAAGGTGACAAAAGAGAAAAAACTTGTCGTAGTTCAAGAGCTGGACTATGAAAGACAGAAGGAATATCATTTCAACCTAACTGTACAGACATCAGTAAGTTCAAACGTTAAGTTAAGAAGATCAGTTCTAAAATACCGGTACCTAAGATCAAGGAGATTTCCTTCCTTCAAAGTTAGGACAGAAAAATTTAAACATTTGTTTTTTACTCAGTCTGTACAAATTTACCAGCTTGCCCCCCCCCCCCCCCCCCCCCCCCCCCCCCCCCCGTTCCCCTTGGGGATACATGAACGATGTCGAGGACTGAATCAATAAATCAAAGAGAATACACGACCTACTCATTTCATGAACATATGAGAGCGATGCAAACACCATTTTGTAGGTGCCAGGTTGTCGCTGGCATCAACTTAGGTTTTCTGGTGGCCTTTTGTTGTTACAATGAGGATCAAAGACTCATTTTTAAACATACGTACGATAGCTCTTCAAATATTTTAGTTTGACTATTAATGGTGCGGCTGTTGCATGGAGTTGTAAATAAAGCACTACACAGGTTGTATAANGTTTCTATAGTATAGTAGTTACTATCCTAGTGTCTCATTTTTATTTACTTAGTTTACATGTTTTAATAATTGTAAAGCGCTTAGAGCTTTATGGTAAGCGCTATATAAAAATGCCTAAATAAATAAATAAATACATCACACTTCTTCTATATATTAATTAAGGGCCCACGATCAATTTATTGATGATTCTGGCTCCTATGCATGTAGAGGGGATTTGCCATGTGTCTGTGCCTGGTGTTGAAGAGGATATTTCAATGGTTGCAAGGGCTACTCTGCGAGGGTATAATGAACTGGGGGTTGGAAGGCCTGAGGCAATATATGCAAATGTGTCAAGCGTAGTCGTCTCAACTGTTGCTTTTGGAAGCTTGTTCCAGTCCCTTATTGTCTGTGGCAGGAACGAGGAGCTCCTGTACTGGGTTCTTGTTTTTATGAGCCAGAACTGCCTGTCATGGCCTCGTCGCTGTCTAGGGGGGAGAGGGGATAGTTTCCGTTTAATGCTGGAGCAATGGACCAGCTCATCGCTTACATCATGGGAGAGCCTGGATAGTCGTCGTTCCTCCAATGGTGACCAGCCCAATGTTTCCAGCATGATACTAAAGTTGTTAACTAGGCCTACTTATACAGTACAGTCAATGGAAAGTTGCAACTTAAAATTGAAATGATCGGGATGGTTTACTCCTAGCGTCACCAATGATTATTTTTTAAATGAAATGCAAATAATTTGTAACTACATGACTTTTAGTCCATAACAATAACAGCGGTTCTCAACCTGTGGGTCGTCACCCCTTTTGAGATCGAACGACCCGTACACAGGAAGGCTAAGGGCCTTATGCTAAGGCCATTGGAAAACATATATACTCTGCAGTTATGAAGTAGCAATGAAATAATTTTATGGTTGGGGGGGGGGGGGTCACCCCAACCCAAGGAACTGTATTAAAGGGTCACGGCATTAGGAGGGTTGAGAAGCACGGGGCTATAATGATCTTTAATCGGCCTACTTTTGAAGCTTGAATTATAAATAAATTAAATTATTACACAGGAAGGCTAAGGGCCTTATGCTAAGGCCATTGGAAAACATATATACTCTGCAGTTATGAAGTAGCAATGAAATAATTTTATGGTTGGGGGGGGGGGGTCACCACAACACAAGGAACTGTATTAAAGGGTCACGGCATTAGGAAGGTTGAGAAGCACTGGTCTATAATGATCTATAATCGGCCTACTTTTGAAGCTTGAATTATCAATAAATTAAATTATTGATATACATTTGGAAAATCAACTCTAATTTTATTTTATTGATACTTTGCTGGGTCCCTTTGCTGTGTTGAAATAAATTAGATAAAATATTTTTACTTACAAGAAAAGAAAATATAAATACTTATTCAATAAGCGCTTTATTATTATTTAGTTGACACTTACGTATATTTAAAAGTAGGTGCTTTCCTTTCATTATGTTGTGTTTCATTTGAGTGCTTCCGGTATTTCGGCTTATACACAAACCATTGTAAAATAAATATTCCAAGTAAATATAATAAACAGAAAAACATGTCGCTTTCTACAATATATGACATACTTGGCATTATTGCCGATTTCGATGAAAACTTTTGTGCCAGTGATGATAATTCCAAAAAGATTATAATAGAGCATTTGCAAAAGATGGATAAAATAAACTTTAAAATCCCTGACTTTCCAGCCTCATCAGCAGATAACCCAGGAACAGGTATAAGTAAGAATAGTAAGATATACCAGTGTCGGTGTAAACTGCCAGTAATACTAAATTTTAGTACTGGCTTTTGAAAGGCTAATTTTTATGAAATATATTTACTATGTCGGATCAGTTAAGTCAGTATGCCCGGACTATGCCGCTATGACTAAAACCGGGAAAGTGAGGGGGTGGGGGGGGGGGAACAAATGATAGCATGCTATTTCTGGCATCCCCCATCCATCATCACTAAAACTAAAAATCTAGATCCCCCGCAAAATTACAATAAATACAAATAATCTCCCCATCATTTCAGTTTCAAAAGTAAAAATCTAGGTAATCTTTCAGTTCAGGTGCGTAGTATAGTATATTTAATATATAATATTATTTCTGATAGAAATTTTGTGTTTTGCGCGTAAATTTACGTGCATTCTTTATAAAATTTAGTCCAGATAGTATTAGTTAACACTAACACTAAATTGTACAGCACTAACTTTTCTTTTTATTGATTTTTACAGCCCCCATTGGTACATAGCCGATAGCGTAAAACGATCTCTCCTTTTTCTTGTTTTTTAAAATGCACCCTACGTGCCAGATTGCAATTTTTCAACTGAAAGCAATTCACAAAAAAACGAAACAAGAAATTAGATTTATAACAAGTGTATGTGTACTAAGTTTGATCTCGTTCCATTCACCCATGCCTATGCAAGAGCCTGTTTGGAATTAAATAAGAAAAAAAAGAATTTTGTGCCCCTATAAAATAACGGAACACTAATTAAATTCAACCCCCCCCCCCCCCCACACACACACACTTCAGGTGTATTTCATTCTTTTGTAAACATGCCTTCAATTTGAAAATTTCGTTTAGCATACCAACTTATAGGTGATCAAAGGTCCGGCATCAGGGTGAAAAAAAACACAAAACAAATAAAGCTATGGAAGGTTGGGAGATTTTCAAAGATGCTTTTGAAATAAAATCAAACGAAAATAAGCGCTGAGTAATTCAGTATTAGATAACTATCACTGCCTGGATTTAATTTAATGAAGAATACACTAAGTTTACACGCCATCATATGAAATTCGATCACAAATAATATATGCACCTGAACTGCAAGATTACCAAAAGCTAAATGTGCAGAGTGCAGTTAACTGCATTGGGTTTTGCCAAGAGTTGTCTCACCTTAAGCGCAGTGACGTCACTTAGGGGAATCCCAACACTCGATTAGGGTGACTGGACCAACGATTGGACCTGAATGATGAGCATGATAACTTTCCTGTTCTTCACTGAGCATTAATGATGTCAAAAACATAAACCCATCAATGATGTTTGCTGCTAAGTTGTCAGTCATTGTAAAGCACTAATCCATTTTTCCTTGCATGGATGTGAGCTAATTTCAGCTGGCAAATTTATCTGCCAAGTAAGCCGACTCAGCGATTCCATCCACAACTGCTGTTCTAATCTACACAGTCCCAACCAAACTCTTCTTTTTTTTTTTTTCAATCATAAAATTGGTAAGCTCTCCTTGAAATTAAGAAATGCTTGATTAAAACTTTTCCTCTTGGCAACCAACGTACTTCAGCATGCAGTAGAAGCTGTTTATGCGCAGACTCCATGTTATGAGCAAATAATTTTGAATTTAAAGCATGAGCCTTCACATAATTCACAACTTTTACAACCTTGCTAGGAGTGCATACAATGCGTTAATGGGTATGATTACCATAGTCCATGCATTCGAGTTTGACTAGGGTTGCCTTGATTTAGTTATTGATTTAAACCGTTTTGAACACATTATTTTGTTTCACTATATAGTATAATGCGTTCAAAAAGAAATTTGATGAAAATTTTAATGCATGAACTGAAAAAAAGACTCAACAAAATTTCCATTCGATCGAAATTCCGTCAATCAATTTTTCCATCGTCCGGTAACTGTTAAAATCTTATAACGCCATTAGTGTAGGGGGGTGCAATATTGGGAGCTCGTCCCAGGGGGTATTAGTCAAGGTACACCACTCCCCCTCCATGTCCATTCTTAAATGAAATCACGCTTATAAGTTTTTTAAACAAAATAGTTACAAATCTGTGTCATTAAAAAAAATTGCATTATTTATCTTTTCTTAATTACTTTTAAATTTTATTCATACAAAAAGAGGGGGATGTAAAAAAGAATTTAAAGATCTTGCAGTTAAAAGAGAAAGCTACATTTGCAAATAGTTCCAAGACTTTAATGTTTCTATGATGGGGTTAGTGCTGCTGTCATCAGTTAATAATGACTTTTTAATAGGGGTGTGCCGGACCCCGGTCCGGAATCCGGTTCCGCCGGATTTTGCACTATCCGGTGAAATCCGGTTCCGCCGGATTTACATGTATCCGGAACAACCGGATTCCGGAATCCGGAATATACCGGATTTCGGAATTTGCCAGATTTTGTGACTCACCGGATCATAATCTGAAATAAAAGTAATTCTCTTTCCCGAATTTCACACGATCACGATACATTAATCGATTGTTTCGAGCGTTGAGCTTGTTTAATGTTTAATATTCCGTACATACCAGAGGCTAGAGTCAGCACCGCTAATAGTGGCCAATAGTGTAGGGACTTTGATAAGAAAATTTAAACTTTTTGTAAAAATAAACCAATGGCATAGTTGAAAAGATGTAATTTTTTAAAGAATTATAACACCAAAATCATATTTTTAGCTGTTGTAGTTTTAAAGTTATGAATTTTTAAAGTACGACTTGGTTTGTCATTTTTTAACATGGACTGCATCTCCACATTCTGTGATCTCATTCCACCAATCCCGTCATGCGCAATGACTATATAGTTTATATAAGGCAACGCATTCCCTGCCTTATCACTAAAATACTGTTTAGACTTAGTTTAAACTTTCAACTTTGGCACATGAATAATTAATTAAAGCTTTCCCTGACCAATGGTTTAATAGTTTTTGCACACGGCAAACTCTTATGAATGAAACTCTGAGGTAGTACTACGATACAGTTATGCAAGTGGCTGTGAATGGTTGCCAATGACAACGTGTTGCACACGGTAAATTCTGATCATTTATAATATGGATTCTACCGGGTTGTTAAAGCTCAAATTAAAACATTCCAGTTTAAATGTCTTTAAATGCATTCTGAAACACAAGTTATCAATTATTTTGATGTAAATAGTGATAATAAATTAATATTTCCTAAGTATCGTCAACTTCCGCCATTAAAAAGGGGGGCGTGGCCAACCCCATGGCGAAATTAGGTTGAGCGAGCTGCATGACCTGCTGCGAACGCGTAGAAACATGGCGTCTCTCGTAAGACACTTATCCAAATGGAACGGAACTCAAATATATATCGAAAGTACTAATTTAATAATAAATAGACACACACATCGGAAAATTAAAAACTCGGATTTTTTGGCGCCGATTGCGAATTCCCATACACAAAAAGTAGTAGTCCACCTTGACTTACCGAAGTATCTACCAATAGTACCAAAATCCGGGAGAAACCGGAATCCGGATTATTCCGGAATCCGGATTATTCCGGAATCCGAATCCGGATCCGGCGGATTTCGCATAAGAAAATCCGGATCCGGATCCGGTTGGAAAAAACGGATCCGGCACACCCCTACTTTTTAATAGTGTTAAGGATTCTTTTTATAAAAAATTTTGAACTTTCTAAAAAAAAAAAAAAAGATAAAATAATTATTTTTAAAATTGCAGGTCTTGAATGGTTGAATGTATCTCAACCCCTGAAGTTATACGATCATTTAAAGGGAAATATTGTTGTCTTGGATTTCTTCACATACTGCTGTATTAATTGTATGCACATTCTACCCGACCTGGAAGTAGTTGAACAGCAGTTTCCTTATCAGTCTGGAGTGGTAGTTATTGGTGTGCATTCTGCTAAGTTTTTAAATGAGAAACTGACTGCCAATATTTTAAGTGCAATACTTAGATACAACATTACACATCCTGTGGTAAACGACAAAGATGCAACACTGTGGCAAGTATGGTCATTAAAATTGTTACTTTATTTAAAAAAAATAAAAATCCTCATTTTTAAAAAAAAATTATTATTAAAGAATCAGGTTAGCCTGAAATTAATCTAGATCTATAGATTGAAAAGAAGAAGATGAAATAAGTTTCTTTTGGAAATGAAAACAGAATCAAATAAACCTCTTATTATCGGACAAACAGTATGAAGTTAACAAAATAGAATTGAACTAGAAGTAAAAATAATTTTAAAAATTTAATGAAAAGTAATAAAATTAATTTAGTTGTTAATTTTAGATGTTATCTGTGTGTCTCAGAATTTTTAAAATTTTGCCCGATAACCCTGGTTTAAAACTATTATTTTCTTGATATACTGAGAAGAAATATAATCTGTGAATGTGTGTAAGATTGTGTAGTCTTCAACTATTCTCATTTATGTCCCAGAAATTGATTTATAATTATTATTTCTTCTTTTAGGCTTTGGCTGTGTCTTGTTGGCCAACACTCGTATTTTTGGGACCAAGTGGCCAAATTATTTATTCTCTTGCTGGGGAAGGTCATAGGTCAAAAGTTTTGAAGTTTCTTCGAGTAGCAACTGAATTTTACTCACCTTTGCTTCAACCATGCATTTTACCTCTTAGCCTAGAGAAAGATAAAACCCCAAGGTCCAACTTGAGTTTTCCTGGGAAAGTGTTTTATTGGCAAGATAAGGATTGGCTGGTCATTTCTGATACAGGAAATAATAGGATTCTTGTGACGGATAGAGCTGGAGTTGTTCAGGTAATTACAGTTACAGTTAAAAACAATAAATTTAGAGAAAAAATCATTAGCTCATATTTTATAATAAATTTACCATACTTCCATTATTAAAATAAAATTACTTAACATTAAAGAGAGAGTCAGTATAGATATCGTTTAAAGGTATTCGAGCCCTCTAATGTATATTTTAAATTCAAATTTGAAAATTGTGATAGTAACACAGCTTTGGTTGAGATCTGTAGATTATATTCTATTTTATTTGTTTGACAGGCTGTTGTTGGAAATAGTCACAGAGGTTTGCAAGATGGAAACTTTGAAAGTGCTGAATTTTCATCCCCGCAGGGCATTTCTTGTGATGCTCAATACATTTATGTTGCAGATACTGGGAACCACTGCCTTCGCAGACTTGCATTTGACGATGCTGGGGTGAAAACTTTATCAGGTACCGGTCAGCAAGGTATAGATAAAGAAGGAGGAAAACTCTGCAGAGCCCAAGAGCTTTCGTCACCTTGGGATGTTTTGGTGGCAAAGACACCAAATGGTTAGTATTTGTCAAGAATTCTGAGCACCATTTTTAAAAATTATTCAATAATTCTGACTAAATGTAACCCATTTGAACCTGTAATTGAAACCCAGCCAAAAACCGTTTCAACTCCATAACTGTTGAATCCAGCTGCTAGAACACATTACTTTACAAAAACTCTTGCTACCGTATTAAAAAGAAAGTCTTGCATTATGTTAGACCAAAGGGGGCCTACCGCAAAATATTTGTATATTATATTAATCAGGCAAGGAGTGTTCGTTATTTTAATAGTTTCTGTATTTCTTAATAATGGTAATTATGATTAGTGGAGAACCTTGCCACAGTTTTTACACTATTGAAGCACTGGACAATTATGCAATACAATTTGTAAAGCTATCATTGGACAGTTATGTAATGCAATATGTGAAGTTTTCATAGGACAGTTATGTAATACAATATGTAATACTATCATTGGACAGTTATGTACTACAATATGTAAAACTATCATTGGACAGTTATGTAATACAATATGTAAAACTATCATAGGACAGTTATGTAATACAATATGCAAAGCAATCATTTATGAACAGTTTCTTAATACACCTGAATTTAATTTGTTAAAATCAATATACGATACACACATAGTTGTTCCTCTCTGTTTGAAAATTCAGTTTTAAGCATAAGAATAAGTGATATAGGTTCATAATTTTTTTTATCTTTTGATATTTCTTAAAATTCTCCAACATTAATTTTAAGGCTGAGTTTTATGAGTGCGTCATTGACAGACCTTTTTGTGTGGTGAATTTTGGGATTATTCTGTCTTATTTATAGTTAAGTACAAAAATCATAAAGAGTGCGAAGAGGTCAACCAATGTAGACAGCTTTACTTAATTAGTGTATAATATAATTGAACTAAAACATTCACCTGAAACTGTATTTTAAAACAATAATCAAAAAGAAACTAATTTATCTATAAATAGACTAACATTCTAGTTGATGTGATTTGATTTGAATTCCCTTTGTCTCCCAGACAGCAGCCCTGTGATGTTCATAGCAATGGCAGGAACACATCAGATTTGGGTTTATTTTCTGACAGATAGTTTGTGGTACCACGGCAGGTAAGTTAAATCCTTATAACATTGGCAGAAAAAGATTGTATCTGAAATTGATCAGGTATTTTTTCACACTTAATCAATAACGATTATTATATTTTTAATGATAAAACAAGTTCCTGTTTCATTTTAGAAAATTTGAGGCGGGCACATGCATCCGCTTTGCTGGAACGGGATTAGAAGAAAACAGAAATAATTCCTATCCTGAAAAAGCCAGTTTTGCTCAGCCATCTGGACTGGCTTTTTCTATGAAGGATGACAACTTTAAACTTTACATAGCAGACAGTGAAAGTTCCTCCGTACGCTTTATCTCACTTTCTGATGGAAAAGTTTCAGGCCTTGTAGGAGGTGAAAGAGACCCCACCGTTAGTCAAACAAATTTTTTCCCTTGTTATTCTTTAGCTTAATTATGTTTATTACAGTTTATTAACCTAGGTAAACTATATTTTTTAGTAAAATGGTTCACCACATATAGATATTTGTTTTTAATGTTGGGAAGGATTGGCTGAAATGATGGCACTGAGTAGTTTGACTAGTTGCAGTTTAGATTAGATATGGCTGAGATATGAATTCCAACCTTTACATGTGTCTGGGTTTATCTGGTTGGCTTCAAGCCACATGAATTCTGCAGATGTTTAGAAAGTTGAATAAGTTAAGATATAACTTTATTTTTACTATTCACTGGAGCAAATAAGTATTTCCAATACTTTTGATTGTTTCTGCTTTCTAATGAGTTTATTGAGCTGCAGTGGCCAATAAGTTATTTCCATTATTTCTATTTAAAGTCATATTTTGATTTTATAAACATTTTTTGTCATTGAATGTATTTTTTTATTATTTTAAACTAGAACTTATTTGCTTATGGTGATGTGGATGGCAAAGGTGTGGATGCAAAACTGCAACATCCTCTTGGTGTTGCTGTGTTAGAGGACAAACTGATCATAGCTGATTCATACAATCACAAGGTGCTAGAAGGTTATTTTATTATTATATATGTTACATGTTGTATTTTGACTTGGCATATCACAAGCTAAACTATTTTATTTCATTTAACCTGAATCGATTTCATAACTAATGATTTTAATAAGTTTTATTCAATGACTTAATAAGGTAGGTTTATTGCCCATTCTAGGTGTTGGCCAACATGTGTTGCGCAGTCACTCCTGCTTCTATGCAAGTGTGTCCTGTTGGCCACCATGTGTTGTGAAGTCACTCCTGCTTCTATGCAAGTGTGTCCTGTTGGCCACCATGTGTTGTGAAGTCACTCCTGCTTCTATGCAAGTGTGTCCTGTTGGCCACCATGTGTTGTGAAGTTACTCCTGCTTCTATGCAAGTGTGTCCTGTTGGCCACCTTGTGTTGTGCAGTCACTCCTGCTTCTATGCAAGTGTGTCCTGTTGGCCACCATGTGTTGTGAAGTTACTCCTGCTTCTATGCAAGTGTGTCCTGTTGGTCACCATGTCTTGCGCAGTCACTCCTGCTTCTATGAAAGTGTGTCCTTTCAACATCTTACAATTGATTTGATGCAGAACTCAAAGTGAAAGAATGATTTTTCTTTAAATTGAAGAATCCACAAGGTTATGCAACTCAAGCTATGACCAAGATTATTGAATGTCTACAGTTAAAAAATATGTAGTTAACTATAAGGAAGACAAGGTTCATTCACTCACTACTTTTCTGTCACATAAAAATTATAACATTTGTTAAAATGATTTTAAAAATATAATGAAGAACACAGTGAAACGAAATATTTGGGTGAAACCAATGTGATACAGTACACAAATCATTTTAATAAATTATATTTCTTTTCTCCTGTGCGTTTTCATAAATCTTAAACTTGGTGTCCTACCTAATGAATCAACAGATTAAAGTTGTGGATCTCAATTCGTCAGTCTGCCAGACTCTAGCTGGAACAGGACATCCTGGCTCCAAGCTTAACACTGATGATCTGTGTGCTTGTGAGTTCAATGAGCCAGGAGGGGTTACGGTGAACACAGTAGACCAACTGATATATGTTGCTGACACAAATAACCATTCCATCAAAGTCATAGACTTGGACAAAAAGAAAATATTTCAGGTTTGCAATTTAAAAAAAGAATTTTCTTAGTTATAATATAATAAAATTGAATCGTTGATCATATGATAAAATAAATATTGGAGGAAAATTTTTTATGGAGTGAGGTGATTTGATTTTTTTAATAAATCAATAGCTTGGACTGGCATTAATCAATAGATATTGCTGTATGGTTGACTGTAATATTTAATGTTGTCTGAAACTAAAAATAATCGATTGAATACTTTTAAATTGAGCAATTAAGTTGGTAAAAGTTTTAAAGTTTGTTTATTATTGTTTCCTTATTTAACTTAATGAGACAAATGTCTGCAGGCAATGTTAATATTTTAATTAAACGTTAAATATATTGAAACTATAATAAGATAAACATATAAAATCTAAGTAAAGAAAATGATCTGCAACTGTTTTTATATATATTTTTTAAAGAGATGATAATTTCTTCAGTATACATATTTGTCTCCTTCCAGTTACCAATTGTGTTTCCTGAAGCAAATGAGATGGGTTCAGTCTTGTCATCAAAAGAATCAGACACGTCAACAAGTGATTTGACATTGCTCCCAGATCAAGTTGTTCCGAAGGACAGCTCATCTGTAACGCTAACGGTGTCATTTAAACTGCTTGAAGGAGAACACATCAACACAGAGGCCCCAAATACTTGGAGAGTTATAGGACTGGGTCAGTCTGATCTAATGTTAAAAATATTTTATGATGATAACTTGGACATATTGTTTAATAGAAAGAAAAAAAATAATTAATTTTTATCATCACCATGACATTATTTCCTCCACATTTTAACTTAGTAAATGAGGTTAAATTACTTTCAAGGACTGTGTTTCTCAACCTTTTCTATACTCCACAACCCCTATGATTCTTTGACTAGTCTCGCACACTGACAATTTGTTTTACTAAGTCTGTCACCCTTTACAAAAGTATGGATAATGAAGGATCGCATTCAAGATGTGTGAAGGAAATAGTGTACCAAGGTATATGGAAGCTTGAAATATATAGACGGGACAATAAGAAGGCTCTTAGCCCAAACATTCTCTTTTTATTGTCTCATCTTTATAATTCAAGCTTCCACGTAACTTGTTCCACTATTTCCTTTACAAAATTAACCATGGAATTTACCTGATAACTTTAAAAAAGTTAACTGCTCCTGACTTCTTATTATCACTTTGCCTTGCACTCTCTGAAATGCCACCTCGAACCCCTGGGACCCCAGGTTTGGAAACCACATGTCAATTTTAAACATAAATATAGATAAGCAAACATATTAGTAGAAGTACTTAACAAATAAATGTATTTAAAACTGGTTATGAATTATGAGCAAAGCTGACCTTTACTGACGGACAAAATAAAATAGCCTATGAGGACCCATAAATATATAATTAAGGTCCAATAAGTAATGTTAAATGATTTAGCAAACACTCAAGATTTGGATTATGGTACTTGAGTTCTCAAGTGTAATGTTGTGTGTTCTGTTTGTTTAATGAACAGATGAAGTTAGTCAAGAACTCTTGAACAAATTGTCAGCGGGAGACACAAAAGGCAAACTTCAGTTCTTGTCAGCAGATGCAGATCCCTTGAGAGTGCAGGCCAACATTACTCTGAGGCTGCCAGTGAACGTCACAACAGGCCTATACCCTTTGAAGATCACCAGCCAGTTATTTGTCTGTCAGGATAAGACCAATGCTTGTTTACCACCTCGACAAACTCATTTCAAACAAGTTCTTATTTTTATCTAATCATAAATAATTTATTAAAAAATTATATTCAAACTATGTCTATTATTATTTATGACTGGCATATTATTGTTTCAGAAATATTATATCTAGAGGAAACAGATAAGTGGGTGGAAGAAAAAAGTTTAAAATCTTATTTTACAAATAACTATTTTTGCCTAGTAGGCTCATCTTTCAGAAAAAATATTTAATGAAAAGGGAGTCCATAAACTATTAAATGTAAGAACCTCTGATGCTAGAGATGATTTAGACCCTGGCTCTAATATGAATGCCGGTGTTTATAGTTATATTCATCATTATCATTTAGAGATTATTTCATTGTAAAGTTCTTTGTTATTTCACAAAGTTGTGTTCCATTGTGTGGAGGGATTAATTTTACTGTATACAAATGTCCCTATGCTGTTTGGAACAGACATTTCTTGGTGTCAAAGTAAGCTTTCTTTATTTGCATTACAATGCACTTTTATAATAGCTGCATTTTGTAACATATTTATGTATATGCACATTTTTTGTATAATTATTATGGATCTGATGATGATGAAACTAAAGTAAACAAGAGATATATTAGTTTTGTTATGTTGGTTTTGTTATATTGGTTTTGTTATATTTGTTTTGTTATATTTGTTTTGTTATATTGGTTTTGTTATATTGGTTTTGTTATATTTGTTTTGTTATATTGGTTTTGTGTGTAGTTTTGTTAGATTTGTTTTGTTATATTTGTTTTGTTATATTTGTTTTGTTATATTTGTTTTGTTATATTTGTTTTGTTATATTTGTTTTGTTATATTTGTTTTGTTATATTTGTTTTGTTATATTTGTTTTGTTATATTTGTTTTGTTATATTTGTTTTGTTATATTTGTTTTGTTATATTTGTTTTGTTATATTTGTTTTGTTATATTGGTTTTGTTATATTTGTTTTGTTATATTGGTTTTGTTATATTTGTTTTGTTATATTGGTTTTGTTATATTTGTTTTGTTATATTTGTTTTGTTATGTTGGATTTATTATGTTGATTTTATCTTGGCTTTGTTAAGTTGGTTCTGTTAACTAGCAAAAAGTTCTGTAAATAGATACTTGGGGAATCGATACCAAAACAAAACTATTTATGCCATCTAAATTCTAAAGATGCAGAAGAACTCCATCAAATACGCCCATGTTCATCACCTGGCTTATCCTTATCACCTGGCTTTTCCTTATCACCTGGCTTTTCCTTATCACCTGGCTTTTCCTTATCACCTGGCTGATTCTTATCACCTGGCTTTTCCTTATCACCTGGCTGATTCTTATCACCTGGTTTTCCTTATCACCTGGCTAATCCTTATCACCTGTCTGACCCTTATCACCTGGGTTATCCTCATCACCTGGCTTATCCTCATCACCTGGCTGATCCTCATCATCTGGCTTATCCTCATCACCTGGCTGATCCTCATCATCTGGCTTATCCTCATCACCTGGCTGATCCTAATCACCTTGCTTATCCTCATCACCTGGCTTCTGATGTCTTTCCATGATGAAATTTTTTCAAACACTTGTTGCATAAATTTCTTTGACTAATGTATTAACAAGGATGTAAGATAGGAAGAAATATTTTAAACGTAACTACTTTTATTTTGTTAGTGAGGATATTTGCTGGATCATCCACCGTCCAGGGAGTCGTCCGGTCGGGACGAAACGGTCGCCTAGTAGCGGCTTTCTCAGGGCCGCGTTGCTTAAATCATCGGCCAGGGTTTTAACCGCCACTCAGGCCTCATATCCATTATCGACAACAAGTAATCATGTTATTGCGTTACCCCCGTTGCGTTGGAAGTCATGCAAGTGGACGGGGTTTTTGGATTCGGGAGGGTGAAACCTCCGTACTAGTCTGGCACGCCACGAAGAGGCAAACCCCATGTGACACCTCCGAGTTGCCTCGGTGGTGACGGACTCTGACTTAGAGGCGTACCGTCGTCGTCCACCCATCGGTTCTGCTATCATATGGAACAACAGGGAGAATTTCTCTAAATTCTACACCGAAGAGAAATACCGCACATTCAAATGATTTTTTAGAAAGAACTTTTGCATCTTCGGCTAAGAGTTCTTTTTAAAGTGTGTCAACTGCATTTACTCCAAGTGCTGGGGCCATTGAAGTTTCATACCAGATTATCCCTTTGGCCCTTTTCAGTTCATTTTCCGTATTAGTCCCATGTCGAACATTAAAGTTTTGATGTTTTATTTATTGGAATAGGCAGCTTGATCCCTCAATCAAAGTTGATGCTATTCCCGTAAATGCACATGGCAAGAATTATTCATTTTTACTACGCATATAGTGCATGATTTTGTTGTAAAGGTTGGTTTCACCATTTCAGTCAGGACCATCCTTAAAAATCAGATTTGTGATTAAGTTAGAGTTTTCAATTGCATCCCTGATTTTGTCGTAAGCCTGTCTTTGACCTAGGTTGAGCATTTGAAACTTTGCCTCGAATTTGTTTGTTCAACATAGTGGCCGTCTGGTATACATAGTTCTAGGCCAAAATCTGCAAATGACCTTTTATGTGTTTGAAGAATAAATTCAATTTCTTTAAGTGTCAAATGGAGAGCTCTTCATCCATCAGGAAACCATCTCTCATAGTCTTCCATAAGGTTGTTCTTATATCACGTGATACAAATAAATGTAAACTATTGCCTAAGCTGTACTGGCATTTGATTCGTTGCAGCGTCTGTTGGCCAAGTATCCCAATTCTGAGTCATCATCAGGTATCCTCTTGCGATTCATGCTTCTTGGAAAATTGCAAAGGGGATAGGATAGAGTGCCACCTAATGTAAAGAAATAGTTGATGAAAATTTGATGGCAATAAAAACTGATGTCATTTGTTTATGTTCATGCGCTTCCATAGCCAGAAATGTTTTGATATTCAGTGAACAATTGCTGCCCAAAGTTCATTTATGGACCGAAACAAAGGAGGGGCATCTTGGTGACGTCATATTTCTACCCTCTTTTAGCAATTTTTTTTTTGGTGAGCCCTATTTGAAATGTATGCATGTGCCCGCCACTGTTTTTTATAGTGTGACTTTAGAGTGGGCGGACTGTTGAATGGCGTTCTAAATATTTATCTGTTACCTTTTAGCATCAGATTCTGTTGACCAAACGTAAATATCAGAATTCTGCAAAGCAGATAACCAGACAGAAGGCGGTGCCATATTGATTTAGAATAAAGCGTATTGATCGTGCCATTATTTATGTCTTTCCCCGAACCAAGGCCTACATTAAATCAACCCAGACTAAGTCCCCATTTAGCGTAGTGTTGATGCAACCGAGGGAAATTCCCCTTTTTGGAAACAAACTCGAATATAAATGGAACTGTTAAAAAAAAGGATTGTAAATGAAAAAAGAAATCTTTTACAATGTTTCCATCTTGAAATAGCGGCGATTTTGAAGAAAAAAAGAGAGAGAGACAGATGACGTCACTATTAATAGAAAGGATATTGTTTTTCCTCCTTCCCAGACAGCCCCAAAAAAGCTTAGTTGTACGTTCTCTACAAAAATCTTCACTATACGGACACACTATCCTCAATCTTCACTATACGGACACACCATCCTTAATCTTCACTATACGGACACACTATCCTCAATCTTCACTATACGGATACACTATCCTCAATCTTCACTATACGGACACACTATCCTCAATCTTCACTATACGGACACACTATCCTCAATCTTCACTATACGGACACACTATCCACAATCTTCACTATACGGACACACTATCCTCAGACCACTCTCATCTCACCGACTAGCTTGTACTTGCACCTTTCTCACTAAAACGACAGTCAGCATACTGAGAACAACCGACTCCACAATCTGACTTTGCATCATCCGACCTATCACACCATTAGCTTCTTTCATTACACGATCACGCTCCCAAAATCCAGTTCCTAACAGCTTCCAACAATGGAGCCACCGTGCTACGTGGTTTAGTTTAGACAGAACTCAATAGGAGTATAATAATTTCATGATTTATAAAATTGCATTTAGAAACTTGATATTTATGTGACTTAATGAGGCAGGTTGCCCTTTGGTTACATAAAAAAGTACCCAGGTCAGATCTCTAGTGCGCCATGGAACGATTACCCTACTGTATTAACATTCTCACCACACTGATAAATGGTAGAAACCTAAACGTTTTACATAAAAAGTACCAAGGTCAGATCTCTAGTGCGCCATGGAACGATTACCCTACTGTATAAACATTCTCACCACACTGATAAATGGTAGAAACCTAAACGTTTTGCATAAAAAGTACCAAGGTCAGATCTCTAGTGCGCCGTGGTACGATTACCCTACTGTATAAACATTCTCACCACACTGATATTGTTTTAATTAAATATTTAAAAACAATATATATATACATAATTACAACAACAAAAAAATTCTGTTAGCTGCCTGCCACAATGTGACGATGGTGTAGATTTCGCAGGACGAAATCACAAGGCCTGGAATTTTATTATTATTATTTTTGCTTTTGTATAGGAGAATAAGTTGGTTCCTTCGACAGCGAATCACCTCTCGCCACGCATCTGGACAACGCAAGGGATTATCACCAGTAGCGTCGAGCGTGTTGCCGAAATTTTCAGTGTGTCAATGTCATGCCGCCTACGTGACTCCATCTCCGGGTGCTCTTAGATGAGTTGACGTCCAAGGCGAACGAGACCCATGAACCCGAGGTGCTGTTGATATTTTACCTGGTTCTTGCTTTTGTGGGATTGAGCTCCAGACCACAAACTTTTTGGGTTACAAAAATTCTTGTGCCACCCCCACGTACGAAGAATTCGTCATTAAAAATATATAATAACCACTGATATTGATTACCACATTAGACACTTTAATGTTACTTTGACGTTACTGTGACGTTACTCTGGATATGGCTTAGTATCCCAAACAAGCAATATTTGCAGATAAACATGTCCACATGAGAAGTTCAGGGATAATAAATCTGCAACTTAGCAGCTTTATTTAAATTCATTTTTCGTTCTTCCGAGGAAGCCACCAGCCGAAGCGTCTACATTTGTATATTGTCTTTTAAAGCATAACTGTAATGTTTTCCTGTGCACAAACTGTTTGTGTTGCACTAATCAGATGTTTCTCAGACTTTCTCTCACTTTCTCGTGTCAGTCACCCACCATCTTGATGGTGCTGGAATCGTGTCAGGAGCACAAGCAAAAGTCATCTTGATGGTGCTGGAATCATGTCAGGAGCACAAGCAAAAGTCATCTTGATGGTGCTGGAATCGTGTCAGGAGCACAAGCAAAAGTCATCTTGATGGTGCTGGAATCGTGTCAGGAGCACAAGCAAAAGTCATCTTGATGGTGCTGGAATCATGTCAGGAGCACAAGCAAAAGTCATCTTGATGGTGCTGGAATCATCTCAGGAGCACAAGCAAAAGTCATCGTGATGGTGCTGGAATCATGTCAGGAGCACAAGCAAAAGTCATCTTGATGGTGCTGGAATCGTGTCAGGAGCACAAGCAAAAGTCATCTTGATGGTGCTGGAATCATG